ACAATTGGTAGCATCTATTTATATCAGTTTATATTTAGCTTTTATAGATTCATTAGCCAGTGAAACTATATATTCAAAGCTAGTGGAGTAAGAATGAAAACTGATATTTTCATGCAGCCAACTGTAACATATAAATAATTTTAATTTAGTTTAGTTTTTTTCATCATCACAGTATATATTTTGACTGGTAAGATAATCATTAAATGTCTAGACAAAAACAGAAGTGTGTTTGGTTTTATATGAAATGAAAACAGTTTACAACAAGATTCAACTAGTAGCATTAGTATTGGTGATAAATAATGTAGTATTGTTTGATATTTAAGTTTTATATTGATTTCAGCATTTAAAAATCCAATTATTAAACCTATTAAAATCAGTGCTATTACATGAGAGTTTTTGCCAAATGCTAATAAAACATGAAAACTGTTGCTTATAATAGAAACTTGGATGAAAAAAAAAGCTCTCCATGAGAGAATAAACAGGGCAAAAAAAATTAGAGCAAACATGAAATATGTATTTTTAATAAAGCATATTAGCATTATTTGTACTAGGGCTGTGCAATTAATCGAAAATCTGATTTCGATTTCGGCTACTAACGATTATGAAAAACCATTAATCGAGATAAACGATTATTGCATCATATACCGCCCCTTTCCAGTTGTACATGTGTTGCTCTTGATTCTGTGTGTCTTGATTCATACGCAGTCAGAAGCATGCGGTCAGCATTCGGTCTCATTCACACCCTGAGACGAGCAGAGCGCACACATCTCATCTTAATGGGAGCGCTTTAATGGTCAAAGAGATGTCAAAACGCTGTGTTTAGTGATTATTCATATTAACCCTCATTTGTGTAATAAACAAACGAGTTGATAATTAAAAGACATGTAAAAGAGAAACCATTAAAGTGACAGCATGATATTCTTGCTTCCGCCTGTTTTTATCATTAATCAAACAAAACGTGAAAATCCCTCACTGCACTGGACTTTTGTAGCTAAATTGTTTTTCTTACAGTGAAGGTGCTTAAAGCACAGTTTGTTTCATATTTTTATTCTACTGTATTTATTTCTCTTTCCTCTGCAGGGTGGAAAATAATATATGCTGTTGAAGTAAGAATTATTAGCGCTCCTGAATATTAGAAACCCTTTTTCCCCCTATTTCTGTTTAATTGAAAGAAGATTTCTGAACATAATAGTTTTAATAACTCATGTCTAATAACTGATTTATTTTATCTTTGCTATGATGACAGCACACAATATTTGACTAGATATTTTTCAAAATACAAGCATTCAGATTCAAAGTGCGACTCAAAGGCTTAATTAGGGTAATTAGGCAGTTCATTGTATAACAGTAGATTCTTCTGCAGACAATCAAAAAATATATTGCTTAAAGGGACTACTATTATAGACCTTAAAGTGGGTTTCAAAATATTTAAACCTGCTTTTATTCTAGCCAAAATAAAACAAATAAGCCTTTCTCCAGAAGAAAAAATAGAGTAAATACTGTTAAAATTCCTTGCTGTGTTAAACATCATTTGAGAAATATTCATTTAAAAACAAATTTTCAGGAGCGCTAATAATTGTGACTTTAACAGTAATCGTTTTGAATAATCGTGATTATGATTTTTACCAAAATTGAGCAGCCCTAATTTGTACCAAGAGCAACAAAACATTATGTTAGTCTAAATGACAGCTTCAGTCACATCTGCTTTTATTTTATCTAAGAACAAAAGCAGCAATAAAAGTGAAAGCACACATAAAAAAATACTATAGTAACTTACTGCAAATACAACAGCATTTTGAATCACACTGTAGTAAAGTATATGTTACACATTTACTATACTGTTTACATTAGAGTATCATTTACGAGTCTTACGACTATTTGACAATGAATGCTAGCGCAAACTTTATTCTAGTATTAACTATAGAGGACCCATAATATTTGACGACATTTTAACTAACAGTACATTTATTAAATATTGATTGTAAGACAATAATCTGAAACTAAATCATTATTGACATACTGAATAAACGTGCTGAATAAACAAACCAGCATGATCTCAAATCTAGCAGGATTTTATTGATTTCATAAACTATGCAGCATCCCGATATTTGCAGATATAGTACTTTAGCATACAGTTATATGTTGTATAATCTAAAATGATACAAAATGTAATACTTTGTAAACTAGCATTTAACACTTTTTAGAGGCTTAAAATTCCCTATGAGCTTTGAATACTTTTTAAGACTCCTCAGACACCCTGGAATAAAAATTGAGGTAAAGTTGGTTTTGTATTCACACATTTCAGACTTCTTCTTGATAAAATGATTTCAGAAAAGTATTCTTTGCAAATTCTAAATAGGGAAATCATATTAGCAGCCAATGACTATGAAAGAAGAATATTGTTCAAAGTCAAACAAATAGAGCTAATGTTGTTTTAAGTCATGCTTACATACGATTTTAGACCGAATATTCAAAGATTGAGTTAAAGCTGTTTTTTTATTTGCAAATTCGCACTTTCACCTTCTTTATAACTTCAGAAAATTATTCTTTGTAAATTCTAAATAGTGATCGGCTGATAATATAATTTTACTATCAAAGTACAACATTAAATAGTGCTAATGTTGTTTTTAAGCCAAACTTGCATGCCAGTTCAGACCGAATATTAAAAGTAGCGTCACAAATTTTCACTGTTCAAAAATGAACAGATGTTTAAATATTAAAGCAACTTTACCTCAATTATTCAAAGTACCATGGTAAACAATATAGTGAGCATGTCACAGGTTGTCACTGAACAAATGTGCGAATATAAAACCAACTTAGTTACCCTAATGGAAAATTAAACCTACAATAAATCTTTATTTGAATAAACTTCACGCTTTCTGAGATACTTTTACGTTTGAGTTTTGCCTTTAGTAAATGATCGCTGTTCTTCTCACATTCCTGTATGGAATTAAAGAAAAGTTGGCTTTATATTAGGAAATACGGACGTTCCCCTTGATAATATAATTTCACAAAAGTATTCTTTGCAAATTCGAAATTGGGAAATCACATTAGAAGCCAAGGACTATATAAGTACAGCATTGTCCAAAGTCAAATAAACAGTGCTAATGTTGTTTCAAATCATACTTGCATGTGATTTCAGACCCAATATTCAAAGTACCATGGTAAACAATATAGGGAGAATATCACAAGTTGTCACTGAACGAATATAAAATCAACTTGAAGTTACCTCAATGGAAAATAAAACCAACTTTACCCATCTTTATTTAAATAATTGAGGTTAAGTTGGTTTTATATTCACACATTCAGACTTTCTTCTTAATAATATAATTTTAGAAACGTATTCTTTGCAAATTCTAAATAGGGAAATCATATTAGCAGCAAATGACTATCAAAGTACAGCATTGTTCAGTCAATTAAATAGTGCTAATGTTGTTTTCAAGTCATGTTTATATGTGATTTTAAACTCAATATTCAAAGTACCATGGTAAACTATATAGCGAGCATGTCACAAGTTGTCACTGAATGAATGTGGGAATATAAATCCAACTTTAGGTTACCTCAATGGAAAAAAAAGCAGCTTTACCACCAATTAATGTTTATTTGAATAAACTTCACGCTTTTTGAGCTACTTTTACGTTTGAGTTCTCCTTACGGTCCTATGACATATTGAGGTAAAGTTGTTATCATAATCACAACTTTCTCCTTAATAATATAATTTCAGAGACACATTTTTGCTAGATTCTAAATAGGGAAATCATATTAGCAGCCGATGACAATCTAAGTACAACAATGTTCAGTCAATTTAATAGTGCTAATGTTGTTTTTAAGTCATACTTGCATGTAATTTTGACCGAATATTCAAAGATTGAGATAAAGTTAGTTTTATATTCGCATGCCAATGACTATCAGAGTGCAACATTGTTTACAGTGCTAATATTGTTTTTAAATCACTTTAACATGTGATTTCAGACCCAATATTCAGAGTACTGTGGTAAACAATATAGGGAGAATATCACAAGTTGTCACTGAACGAATCTGCGAATATAAAATCAACTTTAAGTTACCTCAATGGAAAATAAAACCAACCTTACCCCAATTGTTCTTTATTTGAATAACTGATGTAAAGTTGGTTTTATATTCACACATTCAGACTTTCTCCTTAATAATATAATTTCAGAAACGCGTTTTGCACATTCTAAATAGGGAAATCATATTAGCAGCCAATGACTATCAGAGTACAACATTGTTTAGTCAATTAAATAGTGCTAATGTTGTTTTTAAGTCATACTTGCATGTAATTTTGAACGAATATTCAAAGATTGAGATAAAGTTAGTTTTATATTCGCATGCCAATGACTATCAAAGTACAATATTGTTCACGGTGCTAATGTTGTTTTAAAGTCATATTAACGTGTGATTTCAGACCCAATATTCAAAGTACCATGGTAAACAATATTGGGAGCATGTCACAAGTTGTCAATGAACGAATCTGCAAATATAAAAACAATTGCCTCATCAGTTACCTCAATGGAATATAACAGCAACTTTAACTCCAACGTATCTATATTTGAATAAACTTCACGCTTTCTGATCTACTTTTACATTTGAGTTTTGCATATTAAGCGACGGCTGTTCTCCTTACGGTCCTGTGATGGCGAGATCACAATAGATCATTCTCTTATTGACAGCCTAACGGCTCTGTCACGTCAATCATTCCGATGATTGACAGTTATTGATCGTAACGGTAGGGTCTCGAGCCCAACCGGCGGGTTTCGCGGGGTTCTTTCTTTTGAAGCGCAAACCGAGGCCTACGGCAGCTTATTCATTTCTGCGGAGACACGGCTGTCTACCTTCGGCCAGCTTTGTTGACGGAGGCTCGGTTAAGCTATGCGATTTACGGTCACTCTGTGAGATCGTAAACCGCAATGGAAACGATATCAGGGTCTTTTAAACGGTTCGGGATTAATAACGGTTTTGTCGGAAGGTCTGGACCGTACCTGCCGTAGATCCCCTCGGTGATTCGGTTCCGTTTTAAGGGCCGTCGGAGCTTGCTGCAGTCCGCATTGCGCCGCTTCATCCTCGCCCCCTTAAATCGGGCTTTTTAATACGTACTGCAGTATGGTCCAGGGTGCTGTCTCATTTGGACGGGAAACATTGGCAGTCCCGCTGAGGAATATACCGCTGTGGTTGTTGTGTTTTTTTCAGCTGGAAACAAAGAAATAAATAAAAAGACTGAGTGAAAGACCCTCCTCCTTCTGTCGGCGCAGACGCACAGACACGGGCCTAGACAGGTGTGACTGACAGGTCGCTCAGCCAATAAGAATCTTGCATGTCAGCTGTCATGTGGAGTGACAAGACAAACAGCCAATAAGCAGAGGGCTGTTTAGTCGCGGTACCAAAGAAAGGGAAACGGGGCGGTTGACAGGTTTTCTTCGCGCGACCAATCGCTGTCTTTGTGGACAAATCAGGTAGTGCTCCTTGACCAATAGGACCAATAGTGGTGGGAGGGACTCCCTGTACGTTTTTACGTATCCAGTGAGAGAGATACGCATTCTAAATAAACTTACTTTACGTTGGTAAGTTGCAAGGCATTGTGGATGTCACATTGTAACTGTCACACTCTAAAATGGCAAAAACACAAACAAACTAAATATGTGGAGCATTATTAATTTAATAAAACATATTTAGTTTAATGATCACTTCATTTAGCTTCTTTCTTTTTTAAAGTTGGTCCAGAGAAAGTGTCTGAAGAACAATTAAAAGAGTTATAAATTTCTCATATTTTAACTACTTAACTACTATTAGTGTTATTATTATTATTATTATTATTATTATTATTATTATTATTATTATTAGTGTTATTATTACTAGTATTATTATTATTATTATTATTATTTTTATTATTATTATTATTATTATTATTATTATTATTATTATTATTGGTATAAGCGTTATTATTATTAATATTATTTTTGGTATAGTGTTATTATTATTATTATTAGTAGTAGTAGTATTGATATTAGTTATACTATTATTATCACTATTTTTTTTTATTGATATTAGTGTTATTAAGATTATTAGTGTTGTTATTATTATTATTATTGAAATTAGTGTTATTATTATTATTATTGGTATTAGTGTCGTTACTATTATTATTATGTAAATATGTTATTGTTGTTATTTTTTATTTTTTTATTGGTATTAGTTTTGTTGTTATTATTATTATTATTATTATTATTATTATTATTATTATTATTATTATTAATGGTAATAAAAGCAATAATGACTGAAGTAATAATTTCATTTGAAACTACATACAATAAGAAAAAAGTTATTTAAAATTTGAAGAAATATTTAACAATTTTTTTTTTGCATTTAATAAATGTCCCCTTGATGAACAGAGTAATTTAAAATATAATAATAACAAATAAACAAAAACTGACCCCAAACTTTTGACCGGTAGTGTATATGTATGACTTTAGGATCTGTGTCACTCACACAAGGAGGATCTTATTTTGTGGTCATATAAAAGACTGAAAGCTGAATGCAAATTTTCTAATAACCCAAAGAGTGAAGGCTTTTTTTTTTTGGGGGGGGGGGGGGGGGGGGGGCACCTCTTACACACGTGATCCTCCATGTTCGTCATCTCTGGCCGGGTGAGATTACAGACATTCAGAGTTGGTCTCAGTAATAATGGCTCCTCAATACGCCCCCAGTCTCCGCTCAAGACTTCCTCTGGTGGCCTTCCTGCTGGAAACCCTCTTTCTCCTACTGTTTGTCTTTTGGGTGAAAATAGAGAAGCAAGAGTACAGAAGGTCTGAAAGTGAGCCCTTCGTCCACTCATATGCAGGTCAGTAAGTCTGAATTACAGTAAGGATTTGTTATGAATCTTTTAAAACCTGCAAACGTGTGTTTTTTTCATGGACAAAGTTTATAATCGTGTTATTTTCTGCTCACCTGCAACAGTAGCCCAAATCTTTTTTATTTAAAGAGAAAATTAGCCTTAGCATTGTGCAAATGACAAAAAAATAATACTAGGTTTGATATATTTACAGTAGGAAATGTACAAAATGTCCTCATGTAACATGATCTTTATATTTAATGATTTTTTTGGCATAAAAAATAATAATTTTTACCCATACAATTACTTTTTTTTTTTTTTGCAATTGCTAAAAATATACCAGAATGACATTATTTTTTGTCACAATAAGAATATAAAAAACAAACAAGCTTGTTAATATTTTACTAACAGACCATCAAATTCCTTAAAAAATAACACAGTGCCGCATCTTTCTAAATTAATTTATTTAATTTAATACCCCCTGAAGTTTAATTCTAAATCTCAGGTCAAATTCTTCATTTTGACCTCTTCTACAAATAGAGTATGCACAGCTAGTGTTTTTCTCTTCCTGATAAACCTCTGGTGAGCACTTCATGTGACTTCATTTCAATTTTATACTGTTCCTTTTACAGCATCGATGTTGTAGTGTATATGTTTACATGTTATCACAAGATAATGTAGCAAAAAAACTGACTGTTGGTCACACATTCACTTATAGTTCACACAAAAATTAACATTTACTGATCATTTACTCACCCTCAAGTTGTTACAAGCCTTTATAAGTTTCCTTTTTCTGTTGAACACAAAATAAGATATTTAGAAGAATGCTGGATCTGGTAACCATTGACATCCATATTAGAAAAACAGATATGAACACATTACTAAGCATGACAGGTTTAATAACTCATTCATAATAACTGATTTATTTTATCTTTGCCATGATGACAGTAAATAATATTTGACTAGATGTTTTTAAGACACCTCTATACAGCTTAAAGGCTTAACTTAGGTTAATTGGGTTAACTAGGCAGGTTAGGGTAATTGGCAAGTTTTGTATAATGTATATTATTGTACACACTAAAAACGTTGAGTTATTTATTTAACCCAATGGTTGAGTTAAATATATTTGGTGCTTTGTTGGGTTATTTTTTAACCTTTATTAGGTTATTTATTAATAACTCAACCAGTTGGGTTACGTATTTGGTGCTTTGTTGGGTTATTTATAACCTTTATTTGGTCATTTATATTATATATATATATATATATATATATATATATATATATATATATATATATATATATATATATATATATATATAACTCAACCAGCTGGGTTAAAATTTGAATTTCAACAGTCAACTGATTTAACTGACACAGAACAGCTGTATTAATATATTTAACGTTGTTTTTGTGTTATAAAATTTAAGCTCTAGCGCAATAATATTGTTTTTGTTTATCAAATTACCTCTCCATGTCGTGTTTTTTATATTCGTTTCACCAGCACTCTTAATTATTGATGATACAAATGCGCGATTCATAGCCTATATTAAATGGATAAAACGCTTTCCCTTCCTCACGTGTTCATCTCTACAGTTAGTTTTTCCGTCATTCTCACTTTTAAGACACAGCGAAGACATTTATTTATTTACACAACCATCATTATAAAATTAAAAGTAGTATTAGTAATACCAGAATGGAAAACATAACATTTAGCCAAAATAACCCAATGCATTGGGATAAATTATATAACCCAATGCGTTCTGTTAAAATAACCCATAGTTGCGAAGGTGCTTTAATAATCTATAGTTTTGTTATATGTCGGGGTATTTTCAACCCAACAATTTTAAAAGAGTATAATGATGCAGACTATCAAAAAGATAGCTTAAAGGGGCTAATAATTTTGACCCAAAAATGGTGTTTAAAATATAAAAAACTGCTTTTATTCTAACTGGAATAGAACAAATAAGACTTTCTCAAGAAGAAAAAATATTATCAGACATACTGTGAAAATTTCCTTGCTCTCCTAAACATCTTTTGGGAAACATTTTATAGAAAAAAGTCATTCACAGGAGGGTTTAATAATTTTGCATATATATATATATATATATATATATATATATATATACATACATACATACATACATACACACGCACACACACACACACACACACAAAAGTTCTATGAAGAGTTTTATAACAAGAGACGAGTGAATCATGACAGATTTTTCATAACTAAATGACCTATCTCTTTAATTCTTGTGCTTTTTTTTTTGAAACTTATGAAAAAAACTGTGAAGAATTAAGAATTGACTGTTCATTTATTCTGAATGCATACCATTTTTCCTTTGTATATGCGTGGCACATTTGCTGTTAGGGTGTGGAGCCACAACATATCTGGTTTGGGTTGATAAGATGTATTTCTCCAACACCAGACTGACCAGCAAGCGTTTGGCCTAAAGCTTTTATACTTAATTCTATACATTTGTGTTTGTTTTAAACAGATTTCCAAGATGTTCATGTGATGATATTCATGGGCTTTGGATTCCTGGCCACGTTTCTTGTGCGATATGGTTTGAGTGGATCTGGGTTTAATGTGCTGTTAGCAGCAATGGCTGTCCAGTGGGCCGTCCTGATGAACGGCTTCCTTCTGCCACAACACCGCCACCACAGAGGACAGATCCACATCAGCATGAAGAGGTAGTATTTAAAGTGATAGTACACCCAAAAAATTCAAATAATTTACTTACTTCCAAACCTGTTTGACTTTCTACTGTTGAACACAAAGTAAATATTCTGAAGAATACTGAGGGGAAAAAATGTCATTGACTTACATTATACACCGTGTTATTCATTCATTCATTCATTCATTCATTCATTCATTCATTCATTCATTCATTTTACTTCGGCTTAGTCCCTTAGTCCCCGCATCGATGGATTTGCTCTACAGTGTTGGGACTTTCAGCAGTGAAAAATTAAATCACACTGAACTGAACTAAACTGAACTTCAACCCTAAAAACTGGACAGACAATGTTTCAACTTACTAGAACTTTTATGTTGAGTTGCTTTCGCTGCTCTTCACTAAATAACTACAGTAACTTTAATCAATGTTAAACACAGTAAATAAAAAGTGAATGAGATTTTATTACTTGATTTAAATTCTGTATTGGTCATTGATTTTAATAAGCTAACCCTTTTATTTTATTTTCAATTTTCTAATACTTGTTACGTATTCTATCATTTGAAGCTAATTTCCCCATATTTGTAACTGTTTCAATTAGGCTGATATACCTGACATTTATTGACATACTACTGAAAACAACAGCAGATCTTGAAAATAAAATAACTAGCAGACTATTTGAAAATAAAAGTCAGTTATGAATTGGTGGGGAATCACTAGCATAATTCTAGTATGAATTAGCATGTTATTAGCATGATTCTAGCATGAATTAGCATGTTACTAGCATGATTCTAGCGTGAATTAGCATGTCACTAGCATGAATAATAATAATAATAATAATAAAAATAATAATATATTTAATTTTTAACGCGCTTTTCTAAAACCCAAAGCGCTTACAAGAAAGTAAAAACAACAAAGCACAGTAAACAATAACAAAGTACAATAAAAAACACAGTAAGAATAAAGATATCACAAATTAAAAACAGTCCTGAAAAGGTGAGTTTTAAGTAACTTTTTAAAAGCGTCCAATGAACTGGCATAATGTTAGTGGGAAGAGCATTCCATAGTTTGGGGGCACGGAAAGAGAATGCCCTACCTCCCATGGTGCTGAGTTTGCAGCGAGGCTGAAACAGCATAGGACTTGAGGCAGAGCGTAGACAGCGAGAGGTAGAGGAAATAGATATCAGGTCACAAATGTAACCTGGAGCAGAACCATGAACCTCCTTATATGCAGACTCTAAATCATCAGTCCTCATTTTGCTGGACTTGTCAGCTGCTTTTGACACTGTCAACCACCAGATCCTGCTATCTACGCTTGAGTCACTGGGCGTTGCGGGCACTGTTATACAATGGTTCAGATCTTACCTCTCTGACAGGTCATTCAGGGTGTCTTGGAGGGGAGAGGTGTCCAACCTACAGCATCTAAACACTGGGGTACCTCAAGGCTCTGTTCTTGGGCCACTTCTCTTCTCCATCTACACATCATCTCTAGGACCAGTCATCCAGAGACATGGATTCTCCTACCACTGCTATGCTGATGATACCCAGCTATACCTCTCTTTTCATCCTGATGATCCCTCGGTTCCAGCTCGTATCTCAGCCTGCCTGTTGGATATTTCACACTGGATGAAAGATCATCATCTTCAGCTGAACCTCGCAAAAACGGAAATGCTTGTAGTTTCTGCCAACCCGACTCTACACCATAACTTTTCAATCCAGATGGATGGGGCAACCATTACTGCATCCAAAATGGTGAAAAGCCTTGGAGTAACGATTGATGACCAACTAAACTTCTCTGACCACATTTCTAGAACTGCTCGATCGTGCAGATTTGCACTCTATAACATCAGAAAGATCCGACCCTTCTTATCTGAACATGCAGCTCAACTCCTTGTTCAAGCTCTTGTTCTCTCCAAACTGGATTACTGCAACTCTCTACTAGCTGGGCTTCCAGCTAACTCTATCAAGCCTCTTCAACTGCTCCAGAATGCAGCAGCACGAGTTGTCTTCAATGAACCTAAACGAGCACATGTCACTCCGCTGCTAGTCCGTTTGCACTGGCTGCCAGTTGCTGCTCGCATCAAATTCAAAACTCTGATGTTTGCCTACAAAGTGACTTCTGGCCTAGCACCTTCTTATCTGCACTCACTTCTGCAGATCTATGTGCCCTCCAGAAACTTGCGTTCTGTGAATGAACGTCGCCTCGTGGTTCCATCCCAAAGAGGAAAAAAATCACTTTCGCGAACGCTCACGCTCAATCTGCCCAGTTGGTGGAATGAACTCCCTAACTGCATCAGAACAGCAGAGTCACTCGCTATTTTCAAGAAACGACTAAAAACTCAACTATTTAGTCTCCACTTCACTTCCTAATCTGCAATTGCCTATTTGAATATCACACTAACTGTACAAAAAAAAAAAAAAAAAAAAAAATTACTAACACTTCCCTTCTTAGACTTTACAGACCTGAAACTTGCCTTTAGTACTTATTCATTGTTGCTCTTAGTTGTGTAAATTGCTTCCTTGTCCTCATTTGTAAGTCGCTTTGGATAAAAGCGTCTGCTAAATGACTAAATGTAAATGTAAATGTAAATGTTATATGTTAAAATCAATGTCAATCAATACGAGACTTGACGGGCAGCCAGTGAAGCTGTTGGAGTATGGGAGTGATGTGCGACCGAGACGATGTATATGTCAACACACGTGCAGCAGAATTTTGGATTTATTGTAAAATCTTGACAGAATTTGCTGGTAACCCTCCGAGCAGAGAAAGGCCTCGAGAGGAAAGGACGTAATCGGGCTATATTACGAAGATGATAAAAGGCCGTTTTAGTTACATGTTTAAAAGGAGGCTTCAGACTAAGCTGAGAGTCAAGGGGAACACCAAGATTACGCACCTGCGTAGATGGTGATAAGACAGACCCATCAACCGTTAACTCAAATTCTCTACACCTCTTGACATTATAAGGAGTGTCAACCAATAAAATCTGTTTTCGAACTATTTAGTTTAAGATAATTATTTTGCATCCAAGCTTTATTACACAGTTGAGGTCAGAATTATTCCCCTGTTTATTTGTTTCCCCAATTTCTGTTTAACCAAAATAGATTTTTTAACCGTTTTCTAAACATAATAGTTTTAATAACTCATCTCTAATGACTGATTTATTTTATCTTTATAGATATTTTTTATATTTTAGATATTTTTCAAGACACTTCTATACAGCTTAAAGTGCCATTTAAAGGCTTAACATCCTTGACAGCACACTATCTTTTGATTCTCACATCTATAACATCATCCGGTCTGCTTACTTCCACATATGCAACATTAACCGTCTCCGCCCTTCTCTTACGCCTCATGCCACTGCTGTTGTCGTTCATAGCCTTGTCACATCTCGTTTAGATTACTGCAACTCTCTTCTCTTTGGTCTCACTCATAAATCCCTCCGTAAGCTTCAGTTGGTCCAGAACTCAGCTGCCCGTATCATCACCAGAACCCCTTCTTCTCATCACATCATCCCTGTCCTGCAGCAGCTTCATTGGTTACCTGTTCATTTTCGAATTGACTTTAAAATCTTGATGTTAACATTCAAAGCCATCCACAGTCTCGCCCCTCCATATTTGTCTGCCCTCATCCACATTTCTGCTCCTTCTCGCACCCTGCGATCTTCTTTCTCCCTCCACTTGTCTGTTCCCTCTTCTCGTCTTTCGACTATGGGCATGCAGAGTATTTAGCCGCTCTGCTCCGCGGACTTGGAACGCATTACCACCTGCCATCAGAAACACTGACTCCCTCACACTATTCAAATCAAGACTCAAAACCCACTTATTTAAGATGGCTTTAAATCATTAATTTCATTCATTTATTCATTTTCTTGTCGGCTTAGTCCCTTTATTAATCCGGGGTCACCACAGCGGAATGAACCGCCAACTTATCCAGCAAGCTTTTACGCAGCGGATGCCCTTCCAGCCGCAACCAATCTCTGGGAAACATCCACACAAACACACACACTCATACACTATGGACAATTTAGCCTAACCAATTCACCTGTACCGCATGTCTTTGGACTGTGGGGGAAACCGGAGCACCCGGAGAAAACCCACACGAACGCAGGGAGAACATGCAAACTCCTCACAGAAACGCCAACTGAGCCGAGGTTCGAACCAGCGACCTTCTTACTGTGAGGCGACAGCACTACCTACTGCGCCACTGCCTCGCCCAATACTTAATTTTAACTGCACTATTTCTATGTATATTTTATTATTTCTCTTGTTGTTTTATTGCTCTTGTTGATTGTACGGTGTCCTTGAGTTGCTAGAAAGGCGCCTTTATATAATATGTATTATTATTATGATTATCATTAACTAGGTTAATTAGGTTACCTAGGCAGGTTAGGGTAATTAGGCAAGTTATTGTATAATGATGGTTTGTTCTGTAGACTATCTAAAAAAATGGGGCATAAAGGAGCTAAAAAAATTAAAAACTGCTTTTATTCTAGCCGAAATAAAACAAATAAGACTTTCTCCAGAAGAAAAAAATATTATCAGTGATACTGTGAAAATTTCCTTGCTCTGTTAAACATAATTTGGGAAATATTTAAAAAAGAAAAAAAAAATTGAAAAGGGGCTAATAATTCTGATTACACCTGTAAATGGTTTGCAACCACGTAACAAAAAAAAATTAAAAATCGGTAAATCCAATTAATCATTTTTTTCAATGCATTATATAGCAGCTTAGAACAGTGCATAAGTGTAGGAATCTGAATTATTCAGCCTGATCTCACGAGAAAACTTAAGTCTTTTATGTTTTGCCAGTTAAGTGGCTAATTCACGAGTTCAGTCGTACGAAACTGTATGATTTTAAAAAGTAGGCATGGCACCTAACCCCACCCCTAAACCCAACCGTCATTGGGGGATGAGCAAATCATACTAAATTGTACAAATTAGATCGTACGAATTCATGCGAATTAGCCACTAAAGCAAAAAGTTTCGAATTACTGTGAGATTGTGTTGGAATTATTACAATAATGAAAAAGGTTTCAATTGTTTTTACTTTAAATGTGACCACTCTTCACTCTTTGTGTTTCTCATGTAGTGTGATCGAGGCAGAACTCAGCACTGCGTCCGCACTGATTGCGATAGGAGCCGTTCATGGGAAGACAAATCCGGTCCAGCTTTTGCTGATGTCTCTGGTGGAGGTCACAGGATTCGTGGTCAATCAGTGGATCCTGAGAACTCTGCTCCACGTAAGAGAAATTGTACATCCCTTACATACAAATAATAAATTCGATTCCTTCATGGGACGACATGCGGTCTAGCACCGTGGTTAGCACTGTCTGTCGCCTCACAGCAAGAAGGTCGCTGGTTCCAGTCCTGGCTGGGTCTGTTGGCATTTCTGTGTGGAGTTTGCATGTTTTCTTCGTGTTGGCGTGGGTTTCCTCCGGGTGCTCCGGTTTCCCCCACAGTCTAAACATATGTGGTATAGGTGAATTGAATAAACTAAATTGACTGTAGTGTATGAGTTTGTATGGATGTGAGTTTAAATGTTTGTGTGAACTATCCCTTTAAATCTGCACTGTGTTTTCAGGCTGACGCGCTGTACAGTATCATGCTGCTGCATATCTTCGGCTCTCTCTTCGGTGTGATGGTGTCATGGGTGCTGCACAGAGAGGGCATCAAACCACACCATGAGAAAGAGAAGACTGACCGCAAGACTGGCTTATTCGCAATGTTCGGTGAGTACATTATCTCTCAAACTCCCCAAAAAACACCTGAAGGGGTAGGTAACTCTACAGACTTACTTTTCAATATATTATTTCTTATACGTTGTATTATTTCAAATGACCAAAATGTCAATAAAAGTCACTTTGTTAAACTGTAGAGTTGAATTTTCAACATCAAAAGTCCACAGGGCATAGATGAAACTCACATAATGCTACTAACAGCTGTAAATAGACGGAAAACACTTGCGAATCCCGAAATATGGAAACTGTTCACTAACAGATATTTTTACAGAGTACTTTTAATTCTCTCTGTGTGACAGGAACGCTGTTCATGTGGATGTTCTGGCCCAGTTTTAACTCTGCGCTGTTGAGCAGCCGGTGGGAGAGAGCGCTGAGACTCACTGTAATATATGGGACGTACCTGTCTCTGGCTGTCAGTGTTGTAGTGGCGATGTCTGTCTCCATGCTCACCAGCTCTAAAGGGAAAATGAACATGGTGAGAAATCCTGCATAGATAATACAACTCCAATTCTGAAAAAAGTCTAATAATATAATATAATATAATAAATATAAAAAATATCATATAAAAAATATAATCTGAGCTGCATCCAAGGCTTTTTAATGCGCTCGCCTAACCCTACCCGTCACAGTGACGCCACTCTCTCCATTGAATGCATTGTGTCTGACATTGCATCGCTGAGGGATGCAATCTCAGCTTGCTTATAAAGGCTTCATCCAGATACTATTGAAATAGTTAGCGAGTCATTCTGCTGTGGTGACTCCTAATAAACAAGATATTAAGCTGAAAGCAAATGAATGACTGAATAAATGACTGAATTATCTTGCAACTACACCTAACACTGTTTACAAATCACAACGTAACTGGGAGAAGCCTCACGTCACCGTCATCCCATAATCACATGCTTTTTTTCATTTATTTAATCATTTTTGGCTTAGTCTTATTAATCAAGGGTCACCACAGCGGAATGAACTGCCAACTCATTCAGCATATGTTTTTTACGCAGCGGATGCCCTTCCAGCTGCAACCCATCACTGGGAATCACCCATATACACTCATTCACACACATACACTATGGACAATTTAGCTTAGCCAATTCACCTATACCACGTCTTTGGACTTGTGGGGGAAACCGGAGCACCCGGAGGAAACTCCACATAGAACTGACCCAGCCGGGGCTCGAACCAGCGATTGTGCTACCCACTGCGCCACCGTGACGCCCTACATGCTTTTTCACATTATTTAATTATTAGAAAATGGCTTTTTTCAGAAATCCTTCGGTAGAATGAGTTGATGAGTCGTTGAGATGGGCAGATGATAACGAGTGTGATGCTTATCTGCTGTTTTCTGTGCAGGTTCACGTCCAGAGCTCTGCTCTTTCTGCTGGTGTTGCCATTGGAGTTGCCATGACAGCAGTTTCTGAGCCATGGGTCGCCATGGTGATCGGCTTCTGTGCATCCCTCTTATCAGGCCTAGGATTCCGGTACATGAAGGTAAAAATCACAGTAATCAAAACCTACAGCCAGCGAAAACCTTCCTCCATGTGTCCCCCGATGAAAGTAAATCAAACTCAATTCCACCAAATACTCAAACTGTTTTTACAAGTGCTTTCAATGGAAAGTGTGTGTTTTATTTGGCTAAAGCAGGGGTCACCAAACTTGTTCCTGGAGGTCCGGTGTCTTGCTGATTTTAGCTCCAACCTTAATCAAACAAACCTGAACAAGCTAATCAAGGTCTTGGGTATACTTTTAACACCTAGGTAGGGGTGTTGAGGCAAGTTGGAGCTAAACCCTGCAGAGACACCGCCCTCCTGGACCGGGATTGGTGACCCCTGAGCTAAAGAGTCTGAAATAAGGGCGTCACGGTGGCGCAGTGAGTAGCATGATCGCCTCACAGCAAGATGGTCGCTGGTTCAAGACCAGGCTGGGCTAGTTGGCATTTCCATGTGGAGTTTGCCTGTTCTCCCTGTGTTGGCATGGGTTTCCTCCAGGTATACAGTTTCCCCCACAGTCCAAACACATGCGCTATAGGTGAATTGAATAAACTAAATTGGCCGTAGTGTGTTTGAATGAGTGTGTATGGGTGTTACCCAGTGTAGGGTTGCAGCTGGAAGGGCATCCGCTGTGTAAAACATATGCTGGACAATTTGACAGTTCGTTCCGCTTTGGCGACCCCGGATTAATAAAGGGACTAAGCCGAAGGAAGATGAATGAATTTTCCCAGAGATGGGTTGCGGCTGGAAGGGCATCCGCTGCATAAAAATTTGCTGGATAAGTTGGCGGTTCATTCCGCTATGGCGACCCCGGATTAATAAAGGGACTAAGACGACAAGAAAATGAATGAATGAATGAAGATGAATGAATGAATGAATGAATAAATGAATGAAAGAGTGTAAAATAGAGAGGCAAATTTACATCATGCAAGAAAAAACATGCAGAAAAAAATACTTTCTGGTCCTATTTTTTATATTTATTACTAGAATGGTAAAATAAGTTGGATGTTAATTCTAAACAAAAGTTTTGAGTTTTATATTCATCATTTCAGCTTAGTGCATCATATTGTAGATTTATTAAGTACATTTTAAAGATTTACCCTTATGATTATGACAAAATGTTTCCTTATAATGTCATAATTTCAACCTATTATGTCAATTTAGGCTTTTTATCTCAAAATTATAACATTTAACATCACAATTTTAACTTTGTTTGTCATAATTCTGCCTTTTGAATTTTCATTTTCAAGTATTTAATTTGCAAGGCAAATTGTATTTATAGAGCAGGATTTAACACAACTACAATAGATCCTTAGTGCTTTCCAATAAAAATAAATTATTTCATTTAATTCATTAGTTAGTCCAATCTGCTTTAATGAACTAATTTCAAACTGAATTTGACTGATCCAATGTATTTTTTAACACAATATTAAACATGATATTTTAATAACTATTCTAATAACTGATTTCTTTGTCATGATGACAGTAAATAAGATTTTACTAGATATTTTTTAAGATACTAAAGTGACATTTAAAGACTTATAGGGCTGCTCCAGAGTGTAAGGCTTGGTTGTGTTTATAAAATGAAAATCAATGTGTGCTCATGCACATTTGTAGAAAATCAGGTTATTTTTTCATATCTTGACTTTGATTATATACAGCTACTCAGCCAACGGGAAAATTACTGCCATATTTTCTAGTTCCTCTGAACGGCCCACCCTCAAAAGGCTCTGATTGATTGGTTGACAATGTGCTGTGATTCGCGGATGGGCTCCACATCACACCCCTACAAGCATGTTGTGTTTTAGCATTGTGTAATGATGGTTTGGGGTGACGTAGTGACGCAGTAGGTAGTGCTGTCGCCTCACAGCAAGAAAGTCGCTGGTTTGAACCTCAACTCAGATGGCGCTTCTGTGAGGAGTTTGCATGTTCTCTCTGCGTTCGCATGGGTTTCCTCCGGGTGCTCCCGTTTCCCCCACAGTGCGGTACAGGTAAATTGGGTAGGCTAAATTGTCCATAGTGTATGAGTGTGTGTGGTTGTGGATGTTTCCCAGAGATGGGTTGTGGCTGGAAGGGCATCCGCTGCGTAAAAACCTGCTGGATAAGTTGGCAGTTCATTCCGCTGTGGTGACCCCGGATTAATAAAGGGACTAAGCCGACAAGAAAATGAATGAATAATGATGGCTTGTTCTGCCGACAATTGAAAAAAAAAAAAGATATTGCTTAAGAGGGCTAATCATTTTGACCTTAAAATGGTTTCAAAAAAATTCAAACTGCTTTTATTCTAGCTGAATTAAGACAAGTAAGACTTTCTCCAGAAGAAAAAATATCATTAGACATACTGTGAAGATTTCCTTGCTCTGTTAAACTTCATCTGGGAAATATTTGATAGAAAAAAAAATAATTCACACCAGGGCTGATAATTTTGTCTTCAACCATATATAAAGAACTAAAAGCAATGATTTCTGCTGTTCTCTTTCACTCAGAATCACATGCTGTTTGCTTTTGAGTGTCACGACACCTGCGGCGTCCTCAATGTTCACACTATACCTGGAATTCTGGGATGGTTTGCACATTTATGTCTACGGCTGGCCAGTATGGAAGGCACAGTGTAAGATAACTTTCACTCTTAACCAATAAAATTATACACTTTATTAGGTACACCTGTCCAATTGCTTGTAACGCACATTTCTAATCAGCCAATCACATGGCAGCAACTCAATGCATTTAGGCATGTAGAAATGGTCAAGACAATCTGCTGCAGTTGGGAGAGGAAAGGTGATTCAAGTGACTTTGAACATGGCATGGTTGTTGGTGCCAGGCGTGCTGGTTTGAGTATTTCAGAAACTGCTGATCTACTGGGATTTTCACACACAACCATATCTATGGTTTAAAGAGAATGGTCAGAAGAAGAGAAAATATTCAGTGAGCGGCAGTTCTGTGGGCACAAGTGCCTTGTTGATGTCAGAGGAGAATGACCAGACTTGTTCCAGCTGATAGAAAGAGAAAAGTTACGCAAATAAGCAGTCGTTACAACCGATGTCTGCAGAGGAGCATATTTGAACACACAACATGTCCAACTTTGAGGCAGATGGGCTACAGCAGCAGAAGACCACACCGGGTGTCACTCCTGTCAGCGAAGAACAGGAAACTGAGGCTACAATTCACACAGGCTCAACAAACCAGACAATAGAAGATTGGAAAAACATTGCCTGATCTGATGAGTCTCGATTTCTGCTGTGACATTCGGATGGTGGGGTCAGAATTTGGCGTCAACAACATGAAAGCATTCATCCTGCCTTGTATTAACGGTTCAGGCTGGTGGTGGTGGAACGGGAGATTGGCATCATGGATGTGCAGCTGACAAATCAGCAACTGTGTGATGCTATCATGCCAACATGGACCAAAATCTCTGAGGGATATTTCCAGTAGCTAGTTAAATCTATGTCATGAAGGATTAAAGCAGTTCTGAAGGCAAGTGGGTCCAACCCGGTAAAAGTAAGGTGTACCTAATAAAGTGTGCATAGTGTGTATGTGTGTTTTTATATAAATATTGTAGCGAGGCAGAGGGAAAACAGCGGCACAACAGGATGAGTTTACAGACAAGTCCCCGGAGGGTGCTTTATTTACAAAGTGAATGTGATGTACAAGGTGCTCTTCTTTAGGGTGAGGTGCTCTGGTGCTCCGGGAAGTAGGTGAAGGACAGTGAGTAGTCGGGTGAAGGATCGTCACGAGCTGGAGTCCGCTAAGGAGAGACAGAGAGACAAGCATTAGCACAGGGAGTCATAGAATGAATGAAGCTCCTCTTCTCCTGGCGTAGGTTGGGCTTATATGTCTCTCGGCTTGATGCGCTCCAGCTGTGATCGATCCTGACTTGATGATGGTCCAGCTGGGTGAAATTAGCGACCAGGGCGACGTGGCAAATAATCGCTCGCTACATTCCCCCCCCCTTAGCGTCGTCCTGGTCCTGGGTGTTCTGCGGAGGAAAGGTAGAGTATTTAGAGGGGGGGTAGAATGTTTTGACAGACCTGCCCATCCTGACCATAGCCTTGAGAGCCCGTCGGCGTTTCCGTGGGAGGCCCCGGCTCGATGTTGAACAGTGAAGTTGTAATCCTGGAGCGACAGGAACCATCTGGTGACTCGAGCGTTGTTATTTTTCGCTGTTGACATCCATTGTAGTGGAGCGTGGTCGGTCACCAGGGTGAATCTTCTGCCAAGTAAGTAATACCTGAGCTCCAGGATTGCCCACTTGATCGCCAGGGCCTCTTTCTCTACCGTGGCGTACCGGGTCTCTGCAGGGGTAAGCTTCCGACTCACGTACATGATGGGGTGTTCTTCATCGCCGTGGACCTGGGAGAGGACCGCGCCCAGGCCCGAGTCGGAAGCGTCTGTCTGAAGAATGAAGGGGCAGCCAAAGTCAGGTGCGTGCAGTACCGGTGAGGATGTTAGTGCAGTCTTCAGGGCTTGAAACGCGCCATCTGCTTCTCTGCTCCATTGTATCCTCTCTGGCTGCCCCTTTCTGGTCAGGTCTGTCAAAGGGCTGGCTATGGATGAGAAATTGGGAATGAAACATCTATAGTAGCCCGCTAACCCCAGAAATGCACGTACCTGGGTCTTTGTGGTGGGTTGTGGAGTTTCTTGTAGTGCTCTGATCTTGTTCTGTTGTGGCTGTATGAGACCTCTACCGATGTGGAAACCGAGGTATTTGGCTTCTGCTAGACCCAGGTGGCATTTCTTGGGATTAGCTGTGAGCCCAGCCCTACGAAGATCAAGGAGCACCCTCCGCAACCGGGATAGATGTTCTTCCCATGACTCGGAGTGGACGATTAGGTCGTCGAGGTATGCTGCTGCATACGGCTGGTGGGGTCTCAGCAGGATGTCCATCATACGCTGGAATGTTGCTGGAGCCCCGTGGAGCCCGAAGGGAAGAACCCGGTATTGCCAGTGCCCACCGGGAGTGGAGAAGGCGGTTTTCTCCTTGGCGCTTTCACTTAGTGGTAGTTGCCAGTAGCCTTTGGTGAGGTCGATCGTGGATATGAATCAAGCTCCACCCAGCCGATCCAGCAGCTCGTCCACCCGAGGCATGGGGTACCCGTCGAATTTGGAAATTTCGTTCAGCTTCCTGAAGTCATTGCAGAAGCGGAGGGTGCCATCGGGTTTGGGGACCATCACTATGGGGCTGGACCACGGGCTACGAGATGGTTCGATGATTCCCAATTTCCTCATCTTTTGGATCTCCTCGTTGATAGCCAGCCGGCGAGCTTCTGGTACTCGATAAGGCCTCTGCCGGACGATGGTGCCAGGTGGGGTGATGATGTCGTGCTGGATGATGGTGGTTCGGCCCGGTTTCTCTGAGAACACATCCCTGAACTGACCGACCAAGGCTTGCAGCTCCGCCTTCTGATTTGGTGAGAGTTGCTCACCTATATGGACAACGGGAGAAGTTTCTTCTGAGAAGGCAACTAGATGACCTGGAGCTGCAACCCATTTCTTCATCAAGTTGATGTGGTAAAGTTGTTCTTCTCTTCTTCGTCCCGGCTGACGGACTCGATAGTTTACCGGCCCTACCCTTTCTACCACTGTATATGGCCCCTTCCAGGATGCCAAAAACTTTGAGGTGGTGGTAGGTATCAGGATCATTACCTTGTCCCCTGGGTGGAACTCTCTGGGTTGGGCGGGCCGGTTATATAATCGCTGTTGGGCGCGCTGGGCTTCAGTCAGATGTTGCTTGACGATGGGCATGACTTTCTCTATTCGTTCTCTCATGTCCCGCACGTGCTCAATTACTGACCGTTGTGGGGCTGGCTCTTGTTCCCAAGCTTGACGAGCCACATCCAATAGCCCTCGTGGTTGGCGGCCGAACAGCAGTTCAAATGGTGTAAAACCTGTAGATCCTTGGGGAACTTCTCTGATCCCGAAAAGCACGTACGGGATCATGAGGTCCCAGTCGCGCCCATCCTCTGCCACCACCCTGCGGAGCATCTGCTTCAGCGTCTTGTTAAAGCACTCCACCAAGCCATCAGTCTGCGGATGATAAACAGAGGTTTTTATTTGCTTTACCTTTAGGAGGCGGCAGAGGTCTGCCATCAACCGGGACATGAATGGGGTGCCCTGGTCGGTCAGTATCTCTGCTGGTATTCCTACTCGGCTGCATAATAAAAACAGCTCCTTAGCGATTGCCGATGACGTGGCTTTTCTCAGAGCGATCGCTTCTGGATATCTGGTGGCGTAGTCGAGGATGACAAGGATATGTTCATGTCCCCGGGCCGACTTCGGCAAAGGCCCTATCAAGTCCATGCCAATGCGGTTGAAGGGCACCTCAATGATGGGTAATGGTATCAGAGGGCTGGGGGGTGGTCGTTGGGGAGACGTTCTTTGGCAGATGTCGCATGCCTGACAATACCTCTTTACTTCTCCATCCAACCCGGGCCAGTGGAAACGATCTCTGATCCTTTTGATCGTGTTGGCTGCTCCTAGGTGTCCTGCCATCGGGTGAGTATGTGCCAGTTCCAGAACAGTCTCCCTTTTGGTCCTCGGGACGACCAATAGCGTCTTCGTTTCCCCCCGCCTCTCTGCGACACAGTACAGCAGACCATTTTGCACAATAAAATGTGGGAGGGGGTGAGGGCTGGGAAACCGTTCGTTACCGTCTATGATCCGGACTTGTGGCCAGCAGTGCTTCAACGTTTCATCTTCACGCTGTGCTCTCCCGAAAGCGCCACCTGCGGTAATCTGTTGAAAAAGGTCATAGTACAGGTTAGCCGATGATGACTCACCCCCTCTATCGCTCTCGGTGGCCATCAGCGCTGTTTGGCGGTCCCGTTGAGCCCGTCCCTTGCTGTTCTTCTTTGCCCGAGCCGATCGAGCCTGATGGTGGGTGAGGAGATCATCGAACCCCGGCCAGTCTCTGCCCAAAAGGAGGGGTACTGGAAGATCTGGGACCACTCCTACTTCGATGCGACAACTTCCCGACTTCGTCGCTATGGTGACTCTTTGGGCGGGTACGTGGCGGGTATCACCGTGTATGCATGTAATCGGGATTCGACCTTTCCCTTCTTGATGGTATTTTAATGTGTTTGGGTGGACCAGTGTTATTGCACTTCCTGTATCCAGTGTGGCCGTCTGTGTTTTCCCGTCTAAACATACTTTTCGGGTGGGAGCTTCGGGAGGGACGTTGCGGTGTACCACGCACCCTGCCGTCCAGGCCGGGGCCGAGAGTGTTGTTGGCTCTGTGGGCATCGGCTCGTCGACTGGGCTGGGGACCGCCGGTCTGCTGCCTGGTCGTGTTGTGCCCTCCACCGGTCGCCATGGCGCATTTACCCTCCGGGGTGGCAGAGCCGCTCTCTCCCCAGTCTCCCGGGCCACATGAGCTTCCGCCAGCTCCACCGCCTCCACCAAAGCGGCCAGCGAGTCGGGGTTCCTCATGCTGGTAAGTGTGCGGAGCCGTCTGGGTAGCGCCCTCATCATCTTTTCAATGACTACTTTCTCAGCGACCTGGACTGCGGTTGGATCTCCTCCCAGTAACCATAATCTTCCCAATCTGGATAAGTTGGCTGCTTGGGTCCGAACCGGCTGTTTGTCATCATAGGACCACTGAGAAAATTGTTGTGCTGCGCTTATATTGGAGAGTCCCATTCTGGCGAGTATCTCCTTTTTTAATGCTTTATAGTCGTCATTTTTCGGTGTCTTTAATGCGAAATAAGCTCTTTGAGCTTCTCCAGTCAGGAATGGCGCTAACATCCTCGCCCAACTTTCCTTCGGCCATCTCTCTCTTTCCGCAATTACCTCAAAGGTGTGCAGGTAAGCATCAATATCATCCAGGTCGCTGAGTTTTGTGATAAATCTATGGGCGCTCACCTCAGAGAACTGGCTGGAACCGGCCGCTTGGCGGAGCTGTTGTTCCATACGGTCTTGTCTGGCGGTGAGTTGTTCAGTTATCACTTGTTGTCTTCTTGAGATTTCCGCTAGATGGCGTACTACCTCTTCGATCAACATGACTCAGGAGGGGATGACAGCCGAGTAAGAGAGCATGAGTGAGAGAGAGAGCGGATGCCTGTCTGTAAACAGAAGAAAAACAGAGAAAATTCAGTGGTTACTTCTTCTTACTGGTAAGTGCTGAATTTTTTTCCCTCTGAAAAAGCGCGCATTCTCCACCAGTTGTAGCGAGGCAGAGGGAAAACAGCGGCACAACAGGATGAGTTTACAGACAAGTCCCCGGAGGGTGCTTTATTTACAAAGTGAATGTGATGTACAAGGTGCTCTTCTTTAGGGTGAGGTGCTCTGGTGCTCCGGGAAGTAGGTGAAGGACAGTTAGTAGTCGGGTGAAGGATTGTCACGAGCTGGAGTCCGCTAAGGAGAGACAGAGAGACAAGCATTAGCACAGGGAGTCATAGAATGAATGAAGCTCCTCTTCTCCTGGCGTAGGTTGGGCTTATATGTCTCTCGGCTTGATGCGCTCCAGCTGTGATCGATCCTGATTTGATGATGGTCCAGCTGGGTGAAATTAGCGACCAGGGCGACGTGGCAAATAATCGCTCGCTACAATATCAAAATAAAACCAAAACCCATATTCATAACAAGCTCAAATAATAATCACTTATGAGCAGTGTAAAAGATCCTCAGAGTGGTTTCTGACCTGCTAATGTTGATAGTGTTTTGTATCTGTTTTCAGAGCTGTGCAGTTTGCAGTGTATCACATCTGCGTTCTCCTCATAACACTGTGTGTGTGTCTGGTGATGGGCGTGGCTACAGGTACTCACGCATTCACACCAATCATATTTCATTTGTTTGCATGTTTTCTTAGCATGTAATATGTATATATTATTTATTTTTGTTTATTTACAATATGTCTTTTATGTACAGTTGAAGTCAAAATTATTTGCCCTCCTGTAGTTTTTTTGATCAAATGATGTTTAACAGAGCAAGGTAATACATTGTAATATTTTTATCTTCTGGAAAAAAAGTCTTTGTTTTATTTCAGCTAGAATAAAAGCAGTTTTTAATTTTTTAAAAAACCATTTTAAGGTCAAAATTATTAGCCCCCTTTAACAATATTTGTTTTCAATTGTCTACATAACAAATCCAATTACCCTAACGTGCCTAGTTAAGTTAAGCCTTTAAATTGCGCTTTAAGCTGAATACTAGTATTTTGAAAAATATCAAGTCAAATATTTTGCACTGTCATCATGGCAAAGATAAAATAAATCAGAATAAATTAGAAATCTTCTTTCTGTTAAACAGACATTTGGAGAGAGGTCTGGATGCAGACCTGTTGCAGTGCAATCTGAGCTGCATCCAATGCTATTTAATGCTCTTACCTAACCCCACTCCTAACCCTGCCCATCACAGTGACGTCACTCGCTCCATTTGAGTGCATTGTGTCTGAAATTGTATCGCTGAGTGATGCAATCTCAGCTTGCATCATAAAGGCTGCATCCAGATACTACTGAAAATTTGGGTAACAAATATAGAGGGGGCTTATAATTCCGACTTGAAGTATATGTCTCTCTTTGTAACAAGTATGTAACATGGAGTTAAGAAAAATTTCAGATCACAGTCTGACAATAAATTTGTATCTTATCGTATAACTGACCACAAGAATTAAAATGTGTCGTATTGTGGGAACAATCTGCAAATCTGAGGATAAACCTCAGGCCTCGCCCATGATGCGAATCCCCGTTAAGTGTATTTGATGTGCAAATGAAGCAAATTTGATGCGGGAATGAAGCGAGTAAACTCAAAATGTTCATCTATTTACACATGATAGCACAATTTATTTGTGCGTGCCGTGTCTGTTGTGAACACCCCGTAAGAAGGCAAGGCAAACTTAACTTAGAGCACAATTTTACACAACCGTAGCTGATCCAAAGTGCTATAAAATAAAATAAAATAAAATAAAATAAAATAAAATAAAATAAAATTAAATTAAATTAAATTAAATTAAATTAAATTAAGTAATAGGCGACGCAGTGGGTCAGTAGGTAGTGCTGTCGCCTCACAGCAAGAAAGTCGCTGGTTCGAGCCTTGGCTGGGTCAGCTGGCATTTTTGTGTGGAGTTTGCATGTTCTCTCTGCGTTCGCGTGGGTTTCCTCTGGGTGCTCCGTTTTCCCCTACAGTCGGTACTGGTGAATTGGGTAGGCTAAATTGTCCGTACTGTATGAGTGTGAATGAGTGTGTGTAGATGTTTCCCAGAGATGGGTTGCGGCTGGAAGGGCATCCGCTGCTTAAAAATGTGCTGGATAAGTTGGCGGTTCATTCGGAGGGTGGTGTCGGTGGCGACCCTGGATTAATAAAGCGACTAAGCCGAAAAGAAAATGAATGAATGAAGATAAAATAAACTAAAACACTGGTATTTAAACTATAAGAAAAGGAAATATATATATATATATATATATATATATATATTTTATATATATATATATATAAAATATATATATATATATATATATATATATATATATATATATATATATATATTTTATATATATATTTTAGTATTACTTGTATACATATATATATATATATATACATATATATATATATATATATATATATATAAGTAATACTAAAATACAGAGAAGAAATAACATGCATGCGTCACTCAAAGGCAAAAGAGTAAAAATAAGTCTTTAAATTAGATTTAAAAGCATCCAATGAAGGAAAATCCTGATGTTCAGAGGGAGACTGTTCCAGAGCCTTGGGGCCGCAACACAGAAAGGTCGATAACCTTTTGATTTGCAGAAAGACCGAGGGACAGACAGAAGAAACTGGTCATGGGATCTTAACAGTCTACAAGCTGTATATGGCCTAATATGTTTAGTGGCATAGTCCGGGGCAGAATTGTGCGATGCTTTATAAATGAAAAGAAGGATATTAAATTCAACTCTGAATTTTATAGGTAGCAAGTGCAATGAGGGAAGGACAGGGGAAATATGATCGCTTTTAATTCCTGTTATCAATCTGCCGGCTGCATTCTGGACCAACTGTAACCGAGAGAGTGCTGACTGAGGTAGACCAATGTACAAAGAGTTGCAGTAGTCTAACCGAGAGGAGATGGGTTACAATTTCTAGATCTTTTTTTTTTTTTTTTAGAAAGAAACGGTTTAACTTTTGCCCCGAATCTAAGCTGGAAAAAGCTGCTCTTCACAACTGCATTTACATGTTTGTCAATCACACGCATGATTGTGCAGATTGTCATTTAGGAATCTTAGCTGAGTTTTAATTGAATCGTTGGTAGCAGCAGGACCTAATAATAACACTTCTGTTTTATTTTCATTTAGTTGCAGAGAGTTAGAATGCATTAGAATGCAATTGCAAGAAATGAAGTCCATAATAACTGTGAATTGTCACAAAATCTGCCTAATAGTCGGCGCAGTAGCCTAGTGGTTAGCGCGTCTACATAAGGTGCAATAGGACGTCAGGGCTCCGCGAGGTTGAATCCCGGCTCGACGACATTTCCCTACCCTCTCCCACTTCGCTTCCTGTCTCAATACTGTCCTATAAAATAAAGGCAAAAAGGCCAAAAAAATCCATCTTTAAAAGTTGAAATAAAAAAAACTGCCTAATAATAATAACATAAGGGCGCTGCTATGGGGGTGGGGGAGTTAGGACGATTCCAAGGGCACACACACTTTTGGGGACCCCAGAGATAACAGGGGGGGGCCCAAGAAACCCCCAGCCCACAGACGTTTTCTTTTCATAGGGCCCAAACATGCTAGCGGCACCCCTGATGTTATTTCATAGTAGGAATGAACTCCCATACCTTAAGCTGGTTTATAAACTATTGACACTTCTTGAAACTCCCTGACCAATCAATTTTGAGTAACTAAATATACAACTAAAACTCACATTGACAGGAATTGTTCTGAAATGGAGTATCTGGAGACCGCAGCAGGACAGGAAGTGCTTTGATGACCAGGCATTCTGGGAGGTGAATGCTTTTGTTTACATACACAATTTTCAATACGATGACCACATTATACACACTATAGTCATTTACAGTGTTGGGGACAGTTACTTTAGAAAGTAATGCATTACAATATTGAGTTACTTCCCAAAAACGCAACTAGTTGGGCTACTTAGTTACTTTTATGGAAAGTAATGCGTTACGCTACTTTTGAGTTACTTTTTCATTGCTGTCTAAAGGCATGATCTCTTTCAGAGCTCGCAGGGTGATTTCTTTTTTTAACAGAGGAGCTGGGTGAGGCAGTGGCGCAGTAGGTAGTGCTGTCGCCTCACAGCAAGAAGGTCCCTGGTTCGAACCTCGGCTCAGTTGGCGTTTCTGTGTGGAGTTTGCATGTTCTCCCTGCCTTTACGTGGGTTTCCTCCGGGTGCTCCGGTTTCCCCCACAGTTCAAAGACATGCGGTACAGGTGAATTGGGTAGGCTAAATTGACCGTAGTGTGTGTGTGTGTGTAGATGTTTCCCAGAGATGGGTTGCGGCTGGAAGGGCATCCGCTGCGTAAAAACTTGCTGGATAAGTTGGCGGTTCATTCCGCTGTGGCGACCCAGGATTAATAAAGGGACTAAGCCGACAAGAGAATGAATAAATGAACAGAGGAGCTCTGCATTTAACCACACACTGTGTAATCTACACCTTCATTTACCTTTAAAGAAAATTAGTTAAAAAAAGATTAGAATAGATACCTTCTGAGAACTTCCTGACGCTCTACATGCCGTGTATATTCAGATTAATGAAATTTGAAAGCAGTGTGTTTGCTTCTTCTGTGTTCTTGTGTTATTAGTTCAGTAAAATCACCATCCATTGAGACTACAATCCCCTTTTCTTCCATGTGTTCAGAATAATGGGAATACCTCTATCACAGGAATGCCATCTTGGTTTCTGTCTGTTCCCGTGGGAAGCTCATTCTCTCAAGAGTGTGGATCAATCAACCCAATTACACTCATTTTAATTCAGCAAATTGGTGTTTAAAAGCGAATTCATTAATCTAAAAAGTAGCTCAAGTTACTTTGGTAACACTTTATAATAACTACACCAGAGCTCACCAACCTTTTGGAAACTGAGAGCTACTTCTTGGGTACCGATTAGTGTGAAGGGCTACCAGTTATTAAATAACACATTTTTCTTAGTTGACTTTTAATTATATGTTATTGTTAATAATCAATAAAATTCATCTATGTGAAGACATTGATCACATTAATGATTTCTCACAGTAGTTGTCAACAATGATTTAACAAGTTAGATAAATATCTATATGTAACACTTCATTTGTCTAATATTGTTTTTAAAGTAACTAAATAACTTTAAATAACTAAATAACTAAAGTAAATAAATAACTTTAAGTAATTTTCAAATTTACACCAAGGCAAGTGTGATTTAAAAAGAATACCTATAAAATATTAGATGAAGCTTACTCATATGTGGTGCTATGGTGAGCTATTTTTAGAACAGGCCCGCGGGCAACTCATGTGAACCTGGCGGGCTACCATGTTGGTGACCCCTGAACTACACACTACACCAGGGGTGACCAACCCTGTTCCTGGAGAGCCACCTTCCTGCAGATTTCAGTTGCTACCCATATCAAACACACCTGCCTGTAATTATCACGTGGTGTTCAGGTCCTAATTAATTGGTTCAGGTGTGTTTGATATAGGTAGCAACTGAAACCTGCAGGAAGGTGGCTCTCCAGGAACAGGGCTGGCCTCTCAGAAATAAAAGTATGCGAGCTGTCACTGGGGTGGTACCTTTTTAAAAGATACAAATTTGTACCTAAAAGGTCCATATTAATGCCTCAGGGGTACATATTAGTACCTAAAAAGTACAAAAGTGTTCCTCTTAAAATTTGTAGGTACTAATATATACTATTGAGGTACCAATATGGACCCTTCAAGTACAAATGTGTACCTTTTGAAAAGGTACTGCCCCAGTGACAGCTCACATACCTTTATTTCTGAGAATGTATGAACCATTTACTAAGCATTAGCAGATAGTGAAATCAATATTTGTTAAGCATTAACTCTGCATTAATAAACGTTAGTAAGCAGTTTATGACTGCAGCTACAAATGCTGTATTCTTGACTTATAACCACATTTATATTGTGCTTAATATTGTGTTTTCATACTTTAATGATTAATTTTTCATTACTAAATTAAATATTGCATTATTTACAAACCAGTTGTTTAAGCATAGTTGGTGTTTTTTAAGATAATTCTGAATGAGTTAGTAAATGATTAACAAACTATTCAAATTAACATTTATAATTCAGGCATATACTAATAGTTAATTTGTATGTTAATAAATGCTTTATAACCTATTTATTCTAAACAGGAAGAAAAGAAAATTAACAACTTTATTCATTTCTATTTATTCAAACTGTATCAAATGAAATATAAATATTTGCAACCTTATCTAAAATAAGATTACTGTACAGTTTAAACATGGCATTCTATTATATTGTTAAATTATTGTACTGTAGTTGTTTTATCCAGTTTTATGTCATATTTTGACACTCCTGTTACTCAGCAATGTTTACACTTTACAGTAATTTAGATCGGATTGCAAAGATTATTGTTCATTTGACACCAAGCCTTTAAATGTCATTTATAAGGGATTTACCAAGCATAAATAGTCCTCACTTTAGATTAGGTCACAAAACTGCATGACGTTGTGTTAATAAAGCATTTATTAACATGCATAGTAAAATACTACTGTATATGCCTGAATAATAAGACACATAAACTAATTTCAATAGTTTATTAATAATTTATTAACTCATTCTGAATGATCTTAAACACCTCCAACTACTATTAAATACAAATGGTTTGTAAATAATGCAACACTTTATTTTAGTAATGAAAAATTAACCAGTCAAAAATTACAAAAGTACAATTATTATGCACATCATTAAGGTTATAAGTCAAGAATAGAGCATTTGTAGCTGCAGTTATAAACTGCTTACTAACGACTATTAATGTAGAGTTAATGTATTCACTATCTGCTAATGCTTAGTAAATGATTCATAGTGTGTAGTTATTATCCAGTGTTATTGTTACGGTTTAATAAAGTAACTTAAATATTACTACTTACTTTTTTTAAAGTAATGCGTTACATTACTCGTTACTTAGAAAAATAATATTATTGCGTAACTCGCGTTACTTGAAATGCATTACCCCCAACACTGGTAACTTATAGTAAATACTACAGTAAAGAACTTTAATCTGTTGCGGTAATATTATAATTGCTATGGAAACACCTCAACTATAGTAATATAAACTGACCCAGTGCTGTAATTTTCACAAGTATAGGGTAAATTATACAAACATTCAGTTTACTGTAGAAAAAAACTCAAGTATACTACAGTATATCACTAGTATAGGTAATACCACAGTACACTATTGCGTTCATTAACGAAGAGCTATAAATGCTATATGAACAGTATAGTAGACTTTACTATAGTGTGGTTCAAGTGGAATTAGCTAATAAACACATTTGCATTTACATTCATGTGTGTGTGTGTGTGTGTGTTAAACATGTTCTTATTTCTCCTGTAGTTCCCGAATTTGGTGACAAAGAAATGAAGAACGTGAAGACACACTAATAATAGAGACGACCGAACCAATCAACAAATGCAATAGCAGTATATGTGTGTGCATGTATGTCTGTGTGTATATAGGTGTATGCATGCCAGTGTGTGTATGCATGCATGTGTGTGCGTGTGTGCGCATATATGCAAGTGTGTGTGTGTAATCATGTGCATGCCTGTGTGTATGTGTGTAATCATGCATGTATGCATGCACAGGCATGCATGCATGCGTACGTATGCATGTGTACTTATGCAAGCATGTCTGTCTGTATTTATGCGTGCATGCACATAACTGTGTGTATGCATGTGTGTATGTATGTATGTATGTATGTGTGTGTAATCATGTGTGCAAGCATGCCTGTATGTATGTGTGTGTGTGTGTGTGTAATCATGCGTGTATGTATGCATGTACGCGTATACATTTATTTGTGTGTATACGTGCGTGTAGGCATGTATGCTTGCGCATGTATGAATGTATGTGTGTATATGGATGTGTGTGTCTATGCATGTATGCATACGTGTGTCTGTCTTTCTGTCTGACATGCATGTATGCATGTGTGTGTGTGTTTAAGAGATTGCTTAAGTAAACAATTTACACAATAAAATGTCTGTAATTAAAGAAAGTCTGGCTCCTATCAAACAAATGAAACCAAACAACGACGTCTAAGACAATGTCAAGCCAGTGGAAATTGATGCTGGATTGAATTACAAAGGTGGACGCAAAACACACAGAGAGCAGCTTGTTTCAGCCTGACATAGACAAACTGATACACTACACCAGCAACCAATGCAGTATACAAAAAACACACAGCATTGCAGCAACGCAAACCTACACTCACCGGCCACTTTATTAGGTACACCGAATTTCTAATCAGCCGATCACATGGCAGCAACTCAATGCATTTAGGCATGTAGACATGATCAAGATGATCTGCTGCAGTTCAAATCGAGCATCAGAATGGGGAAGAAAGGTGATTTAAGTGACTTTGAATGTGGCATGGTTGGTGTCGGGCTGGTCTGAGTATTTCAGAAACTGCTGATCTACTGGGACTTTCACACACAACCATCTCTAGGGTTTACAGAGAATGGTCTGAAGAAGAGAAAATATTCAGTGAGCGACAGTTCTGTGGGCGCAAATGCCTTGTTGATGCCAGAGGTCAGAGGAGAATGGCCAGACTGGTTCCAGCTAATACAAAGGCAACAGTAACTCAAATAAGCACTCGTTACAACCGAGGTAGGCAGAAGAGCATCTCTGAACACACAACATGTCCAACTTTAGGGCAGATGGGCTACAGAATTTGGCGTCAACAGCATGAAAACATACATCCATCCTGCCTTGGATCCATTAGTACCAATTGAGCATTGTGTCAACGCCAGTCTACTGTTGCTGACCATGTCCATCCCTTTATGACTACAGTGTACCCATCTTCTGATGGCTACTTCCAGTAGGATAATTCACCATGTCATAAAGCGTGAATCATCTCAGACTGGTTTCTAGAACATGACAATGAGTTCACTGTACCTAAATGGCCTCCACAGTCACCAGATCTCAATCCAATAGAGCACCTTTGGGAGAAGGTGGAACGGGAAATTCGCATCATGGATGTGCAGCCGACAAATCTGAAGCAACTGTGTGATGCCATCATGTCAATATGGACTAAAATCTCTGAGGAATATTTCCAGTACCTTGTTAAATCTACACCATGAAGGATTAAGGCAGTTCTGAAGGAAAAATGGGTCTAACCAGGCACTAGTAAGGTGTACCTAATAAAGTGGCCAGTTATTCATCTGCATTTCAGTAGGAAAAAAGAAAACACTGGCTCTGTACATATTTACAATAATTTTATTTCATTTTAAACCCACAGTTGATGAATTTTAGCTACTTTTTTTTAGTCAGAAAAAGTGGATTACATTAAAATGTTACATTCTTTTAGCATGTAGAAATCCCCTAATTTGTTAGTTTAACAGACAAGTCGAATTATCAATCTTCCATAAACTACTGAAATAAGAAATAATAAGAAATTGTGCTTTTAAAAAACATCTTTTATACAACTCCCACATGCCCGAACATAGAGAGAGTCAACTTAAAGCTTCAGAACACAAATATATAACAAGGGTTCGTTCACACAGTCAAGCAAAACTCTTTCTGTTTGGTTCTGTTGCAAACTCTGAGGAAAAAAAAAAAAACGTTTTAAATGTCGACAGTGAATGTAGATCAGCTCAAAGATGCTCTCTGTAAAATAATTGTTAAAAATCAATCATGACAAATGTCTGAGAAAGCTGTGTGAACCCATATAACATAACATAAAATCGTCCAAAAGTACGCTGTAGTGTCGCGATTGAAGTCAGTTGAGCCGTTCGGTTAATACGACAGCAAAATCAACACAAATTCTGACAGAACGTGAAATTAAACGTCGTCATACATTAAAGTGTTTCAAAATATACAAATCGGGTGGTTTATGTTTATTCAAATGACCAACGCGCAATAAAAAAAGAAACACAGTGAAGCCGAAAGCCAGCAATGCTTGTTTTGGTTAATAAAGAATCTGTTCAGAAACTCTCCCACCGCCCTGTAGCGTAATAATCATGTAAATATATCATTATGCTGTCCATATTTTTGTGATTTTGAAACAGCCAGGCTGAAGATATCCTCTATGGTGCGCTATATTATGAAGTATGTGTATAATAAGGGCAGGATAGTGTCCATTTCAACTGGTTTGATTTGCATTTCTCTCACCTACTGTGACCACACGGAGACGAAGAAAGGAGAATATTTAAGAGGAGTCGTCATTGAAAAAGAGGAGAGAAAGAAATAGAGAGTGCAAATAAGCAGCAGTAAGTAGAGAGGAACTGTGTGTTGATGGACTGTGGGATTTGATTGATGGACATGGATCCTCACTGCCAGAGGTCTTCAGTTCGGCCAAACTTGAACACCAGACCACTGTAGAAATAAAGGAAACAATGATGTCTACAAATCACAGGCTCAAACAATTAAACTATCTAAAAATTGAAGAGTTTTTTTTATTACACATTACATTGAACATTGAAGTGATAGTTCATCCAAAACTGAAAGAGTGCAAGGAAAGATATACTGAAGAATGTTGGGAATAAAACAGCCATCGACATCCATATTCTTTGTGCCTACGATGGATGTCAATGGCTGAATTTTCAACTGTAGAAAGAAAATCATTTACAACTTTTAAGTTTAAGTAAAGGAGGAAATTTGAGATCTTGAATCTCAGATGGGGCTTAGATAAAATACAGAGGTAAACGAAAAGAGGGCTTTTGATATTTTTATAAACTTACCCAAAGAAGATGAATGCATTTTGAAAGAAAACTGCAATACCAGGATACACAGACAGATCCTTATGTTCTGTTCCTTCATAATAATAAAAAAAATAAAACATAATTAGGTTTTTTTTTAAAGAAACAACAGTATATATATATATATATATATATATATATATATATATATATATATATATATATATATATATATATATATCAGAGGTCGCGTTAGACTTTCTCATTGTCCGTCATTTTGACGGAGAGGGTTGTAAAATTTTCGTGATAACCTATTATTAATCGTTATTTAATTTGCAGACTTTTTAATCGCTTTTTTCATTTATATTTTAAAAATAAACTTGCACGACAAGCATATAGGCTAAATTATTCATTTATTTATTTGACAAATCAACAAAAACTCCTATCTGCCTTAACTCATATCTTCCTCCTGCGTTTACCTGAACTGTGTGCTTGCCTGTGCGTAATCAAACACATCAAGAGAGACTGATGCAGAGGCAATTGTCATTAAATTCTGTGTCTTTGCCTCGCAAAGTCGACTTCTCGTGACCAAAGAACGGAATTACTAGCGCCACTTCAGCCAGCGTTTTGTAGTTAGGAAACATTTCTCCTAAGGCTGTGATCAGAACTAAGTTTGCTGGATTCTCTGAATGTGGGATTTCCCGATCCTCCAAGCACTCGTTTCACCGGGAAAAAATACTAGAGCACGCGCTACTTCTGCACCCCTCTGCGTTCGGTAGTGCTCACAACGCACTCCAAAGCATCTGACCTCCTTGCTGCCGCTGGGTTGGCGCATAACAGCTGTCGTCGACTGAGGATTTTTATCTGTTTGTTCTTCATCGTCCACTGCATCGCTTCCTCTTTTTTTCATCTTAATTATTAATATCACAACTATTTGGCCGTTTAAAAAAACTTCTCACACTCCGCTGCTGTGAGATTTTTGCAACTGTATGCAGCGGTGACAGAGAGGAGACAAAACAAGGATAATGGCCATCAGCTGGACAAGATTGGGAATTACAATTAGCTACAAATTGCAATAGATCACCTTCAGCAGAATCCGTCAAAATGTCGGATCATCTTCAGATCACCCACGGACAATATTCGGTTAACGTGACCTCTGATATATATATATTTTAGATTTTCTTACCAGTCACAACAAAACCACCAAACAGAATCCACATAGAGGCGATGAGAGACCCGAATGCCAACATGAACCCGATAAAGAGCCAAATTCTAGCACCTGCACACAAAAAAACACATTTTATTGAATTAACGCCACTAACATCCAAACATCCAATCATTTCCCCATGAAGAATCAAGAAAAGTCCTGCCCTACATTTACACTTTGTAAATGTATTCATTCTACTTGGGACCCATTAACACCCGGCATTAAAATGTGTTTTTGTCAATCCAGTCACATGTAAGGAACTGGGTGTGAAGTCTTTACTTTAAAGGGTCACAAAACACCAAAACACATTTTTTGAGCTGTTGAAATACGTTTGTACTAAACACGAGAGCTTTTCGCATCTGGAAATAGTGAAATCCGGTTTTGCCGCTCGTCTCCTTTAAAAATAGACACAGTTCCAGTTGGTGTGGACTGTAAACATGTAAACACCGCAATCAAACTATTACTGACCGGCGTGTTGAATTTTCACCGCATTTTGTGACAGGATAGTCTACACACACGGCTTTCTGACCTACTGAGTACATCTGAGTTACCGAGAAATGCAAAGGTTTTTCTCAAAAACAAACATTACGAAGAACAAAGAAGGCGGAGTTCTAGAACACGCCCACTGATTACATAATCATCACGGACAAATGGCAGCTCAAAGGTGTTTAAGATCAAAACAAACATTATGAAGAACATCAAAGAAGGCGGAGTTCTAGAACACGCCCACTGATTACATAATCATCACGGACAAATGGCAGCTCAAAGGTGTTTAAGATCAAAACAAACATTACGAAGAACATCAAAGAAGGCGGAGTTCTAGAACACATCCGCTCATTACGTTATCGTCACGGACCAATGGCAGCTTAAATGTGCTTAAGACCAAAACAAACTTCCCAAAGTGTTCGCTTTAGTAAGCTATTGCAAACTATTAAGCTATTTTTGATATAGGAGCATGTCTGTAGTGCCATCAATGAAAAGTAGCACAAATTTGAAAAGATATGACCTCATCCAGGGCAGCACCGTAGCTCAATTATTAGCACTGTCGTCTCACAGCATGAAGGTTGCTGGTTCGAGTCCCAGCTGGGCCAGCTGACATTAGAGCGTGGAGTTTGCATGTTCTACCCATGTTGGCATTGGTTTTCTCCAGGAGCTCTGATTTCCCCCACTGTCCAAATCACATGCGCTGTATGTGAATTGCGTAAACTTAAATGGCCATAGTGAATGCATGAGTGTGTTAATGAGAAAGTATTAGGGTGTTTCCCAGTGCTGGCTTGCTGCTGGAAGGGCATGCACTACTTAAAACATATGCCAAAGTAATTGGTGGTTCATTCCTCTGTGACGACCACTGATAAATCAAGGACTAAGCTGAAGGGTATTGAGTGAGATTACATGCGGATTGTCATAAGATCTGACTCACATTTGGGCAAAAATAAATAATAAAAGGTTTTGGTTCACATATGCCATGTTATGCATGCTGAATATACCTGTTTGTCCCAAGCAGCCCTCGCTGTAGCTGTCCCCTCTCACCTGGCCATTTGACACTGCATTGATCCTGCACGCAAATCCACAGAAAGTGAAACTCAACAGATGGTTAAACAAAGTAGTCATGGTGAAGTAGTCAATGAACAACTCTGAAGGCAAATCACAGATGAAGAACAGGAAGAAAGATCTAGGCCAGATCAACTTATGTCAGACAGTTAGACTGAATGGACACAACGAATACAAGCACTTGTTCTCTCAGCATTCTCACGCCTTTTCATTTTCCAGCACTTTACAAATGTGACAAATTTACATACATATACATTAGGGATGTAACGGTATTGTAAATACCGTCATACCGCAATATTAATTTTTTTCGATATTACCGTAGTCGCATGACTCGGTAAAACTATAGGTCTTCTGAGAAAATTTGCTCAGGCGAATGAAGCGAACGGGAGGTACCGGAAACTACAATTCCCATCAGCCCATGCTTGACCATCATCCCTTGCGGTCTGTTGTCGCTACAGATCCAGTAATGCGGAAATGGAGTGTGCTGCTAGAAGCGGGGATGAAAAAGAGCTGGGTGTTGTCGCCGCGCGCGTACTGAATAGTGGTGTTGTCGCGCGAGTTCTTATCAGCTGTGTTGTCGCGCACGTACTGAATAGTGGTGTTGTCGCGCGAGTTCTTATCAGCTGTGTTGTCGCGCGCGTACTGTAAAGCGGGGACGGAGGGTATGTCGCGTCGCGGGGGCACTTTTGATCATTTTGGAAGGGAACTTTCTATCCAAGACTAAAAAGGGCATGTGCACTGCACAGGTTGAGCCCTGTGTGTGCACGTGCCTGCAAGTTGGGGAATAGGACTAATAATCAGTCATGGGGACTGCAGAAACACAGCACACTGTTCAGATTGATGCAGACATGAGACCTCTATCTCACTCATGGTTTGTCCTCTCAAGTGGGGGAAAGACAATGCACAACGTTACCCACTGCTGTCAACCTGGGCCAAGTCATATCTCTCTTGTCCCAGAAACCTCAGTCCCAAATGAGAGGGTTTTTTCTGTTGCAGGGGACATTGTAAATGCCCAGAGATACCAGCTTTTACCAGATTATAGTTATATGATAATTTTCCTTTAAACCCATCTCTATCTAAGTGAGTGAGTGATTAAATGTTGAATGTGACGAGTTTTCAACAATACTAAATTGAAACTTAATTTTTTTACATGGTTTAATATTTTTTTGTTATTAAAATTGAAGTTCCTGTTTTAAAGCTTACAGATAGACGGCTAATTTGTATGTCATTGACACTTTTGGCACTTTTTTGGAGTATTTTCATAAGTTTTGTTTTTTCCTGTAAATGATTCAATAAATACCGTACCGTGACATTCATACCGAGGTATTACCGTACCTTGAAATTCTGATACCGTTACATCCCTAATATACATACTTAAAGATTCAGTAAAGTGCAATTCGGTGTTCTCAACTCAAACGCAAAGAGAGATTGAAACATGGAGTACCTCCACTCCTTTATAAAAACAGTCAATAGTTTTTGTATTATCACATCCAGTGGCACCTGCAGCCGTATGGCGGTACGCACTGTGCATACCTACCATGAGAGGGCAGGAATTAATGCCACTTTTTATTTATTTATTTATTTATTTGTGACATCATTTAAATTGATTATCAAACAGTATACACTGCAGCTGCCTGCTTTTCCACTATCGTGCCGAATCATTCTGAGAACACTTCATTATGGTTACGGTTGTTTATCCACTGAGGACTCCGGGAACCAACAGCTACATGCACTGCTAAAAGACTTTTTTTTTCTGCTGGGCATTGAGTAAAGACACGCTTAACATTATTGATGTTCACAATCCTATAGCTACATACTATATCCATGAACTTGCAGACTCAGAACAACGAGGAAATAACTGCCCTGCCAGTCAAGCCAGACGCCTTGTTTTGTAATTAAATGCCGGCTATACCACCCGAAAGACGGTTACGACGTGTTGAGATGTCGGCCGTCACCAGAAAAAGTCTAATCTTTCATTACTTTATTGGGGTTGTGTTTGAAAGCTTTAGTGGCACTTTAGCTGTCCAAGGTACTGTTGTATGAGTTAAATTATAGGTATATATGCACTAATAAACAGGTCAAATTAAAAAATAAATAAAATACATATGGATTCTTAAATGTCGGTAGTTTTTACTCAAAAAATAATAATAATAAAATGTTTTATAAAAAATAAAATGAGCAATTTTCAAAATTTTTTTACGAGTCGGTTAAATATAATTTGGACATTTATGGGGGCATGTAACATGTTTCTGTGTTTTTTTTTCTTTCTCAGTGATCTTTAATACATACTGGGTAGATACGCAAAATATTTTCTAAAATTGTCAAGCAGGATTTTGTCTATAGCTTTAATTATACAATAAACTATTAGACATAAAATTAGACAATAAAATATTAAAACTAACAAAAATAAAATAATAAAAATGCAAAGATAAAAAGAGCACAATTTTACTAAATTGTAAAAAAATGTTTGTTTTTATTTTACTTGATGCATTCGTTATTTAATGTTTGAATACTGAAATAACAGAAAGAACAGCCATCGGAAGAGGGCGGGGGGGTGCTGGATTTGTGCGTACCTTGGAATGAAATCCTGCAGGCGTCCCTGATCACATCTATGCCCGTGTATAATAATTACTATATTTAATTTTAAAAATTGAATTATTATTACCCATTAAGGAGGTTAAAGTATCAGGAGAGCAACACAATGACATTTTTAAGCAGTTATGCAATCTAAGCACTTTCCAACAAACCTTGAAAACACTAGATTAAATTCCAAGCACTTTCAACTTTTCTGCAGCTGTACAAGCCATTTTGCGTATTCTGATGGCATTTCAGAGTGACAGAAAAAGTATAGAAGTGAAACTCACATGAGGAAGGCTATAGTGGCTATAACGCCACAGGTATGATACGCATGGTGGAACTGTTCCTCTTTAGGATACATTATCGCTGCGTCGATGATGATCCACCAGCCTGTAAAAAACTGCAGTGTGACAAGAAAAAAAAAAAACAGGATTTATTTAAGAATCAAAGCACAGGATTTTGTTTTGACGTCTTTGGCAGGACGTACCAAAACTCCAGCTGCGATGGAGGCGATGGTGTTTCTCTTCTCGCCCCAGTCCACATTACACTCGCAATCGCCACATCTGATCCCGTCCAGAAATCCCGACATTCTGCTGATCTGACCTGAAGATTCAAAAAGACGTTGATCATTTAATTCATACTGCACACTAAACTGAGCAATATGGCTGATGTTTTTATCGAAAGTCTTTAGTTTTGCCTCCCCAGTCATTAGTTTACTTTATTAGGTACACCTGCCTCGCTGCTTGTTAATGCAAATTTCTAATCAGCCAATCACATGGCAGCAACTCAATGCATTTAGGCATGTAGTCATGGGCTGCGTCTGAAACCGCATACTTCCATACTATATAGTACGCTAAAATCAGTATGCTAGCCGAGTAGTATGTCCGAATATATAGAATTCGAAATCAGTAGGCGAGAAGTATCTGGATGACTTACTACTTCCGGCGAGATTCAGAAGTGCGCATCCCATTCACGCTGCGCTATCCCATAATGCCCCGTAAGAGAATTCATGAATGGAAGTGAGGCGACGCAACTGACGCAGGTAGATCACATGACCATGACAAAATGGCGGATGTAGTACGTCCGAATTCCATTCATACTTTTCACATTCATACTGTATAGAACGTACTTTTCTAACGGCCGAGTAGTACGTTTACATTCAAATGCAGTACCTACTGAGTAGTAGGCGGTTTCGGACGCAGCCAAGGTCAAGACGATCTGCTGCAGTTCAAATCGAGCATCAGAATGAGGAAGAAATGAGATTTAAGTGACTTTGAACGTGGCATGGTTGTTGGTTCCAGACGAGCTGGTCTGAGTATTTCAGAAATTGCTGATCTACTGGGATTTTCACACACAACCATCTCTAAGGTTTACAGAGAATTGTCTGAAAAACAGAAAATATCCAGTGAGCGGCAGTTCTGTGGGCTCAAATGCCTTGTTGATGCTAAAGGCTATTCGTTACATCCGAGGTTTGCAGAAAAGCATCTCTGAACACGCAACACGTCCAAGCTTGAGGTGGATGGGCTACAGCAGCAGAAGTGCCACTCCTGTCAGCTAAAAACAGAAAACTGAGGCTACCGTTTGCACAGGCTCAACAAAATTGGACAATAAACGATTGGAAAAATGTTGCCTTGTCTGATGAGTCTTGATTTCTGTCACAACATTTGGATGGTAGGGTCGGAATTTGGCATCAACAACATAAAAGCATGGATCCATCCTGCCTTGTATCAATGCTTCAGGCTAGTGGTGGTGGTGGTGTAATGGTGTGGGGAAATTTTCTTGCCACACTTTGGGCCCATTAGAACCAATTGATTATCCTGTCAATTCCACAGTCTACCCGAGTATTGTTGCTGATCCATCCCTTTATGACAACAGTGTACTCATCTTCTGATGGCTACTTCCAGCAAAATAACGACGCCATGTCCTAAAGCGTGTATCATCTCAGACTGGTTTCTTGAACATGTCAATGAGTTCACTGTACTCAAATGGCCTCCACAGTCACCAGAACTCAATTCAATAGAGCAACTTTGGGATGTGGTGGAACAGGAGATTCACATCATGGATGTGCAGCTGACAAATCTGCAGCAACTGCGTGATGCTATCATGCCAATATAGACCAAAATCTCTGAGGAATATTTCCAGTACCTTGTTGAATCTATGCCACTGAGGATTAAAGCGGGTATGAAGGCAAAAGGGGGTCCAACCCGGTACTAGTAAGGTGTACCTAATAAAGTGACCGCTCAATGTATGAATACAATTTCAAATATGTTTCACAATGTTAAAGAACCCAAACTGTGGAATGATTTACCTGTTAGCCTAAAATTAGAAAGTAATATAGATGTTTTTAGTAGTGTACTTAAAAAGTGGTTAAAACAAAACAGCAGTGTTTGCACAAATAGTCTACTACTAGTTTTGTTTGATCATGTCGCCTTTGCCTTATTGCAAAGAATTATAATGTGCATAATATGTATTTATTTTATTTTTAAATGTCAAGCAAGCTCCCCATGGACAGGTGTTGATAATTATCAAGTCTGCTAAAACACTTGCCAACAGTGCATTTGGTTTGTCCAGTTCAATTGTGATGTCCAGGGGTGACGCGGTGGCTCAGTGGTTAGCACTGTCGTCTCCCATCAAGAAGGTCGCTGATTCGAGTCTCGACTGGGTCAGTTGGCATTTCTGTGTGGAGTTTGCATGTTCTCCCCATGTTTACGTGGGATTCCTCAGATATTAATTTATAGAATAGAACAAATATTCACTTTTTATTATTTAATATTAACTTCACGTTTTACAGCATTATATTTTTAATGCCTTTTAAGAAGAAAATAACCTTTAGTCAACAAATGACTCATTAAAATAATCAAAAGTGATAATAAATGCATTTATAAATGATATCTAATCAATCATATGCTGTTCCTGAAAAGAAAAGCATAGTATCAGTTTCTACAAATGTAGAAAACACACAACAAGAGCCGGTTTAATATAATAAAAATTGATATGCACCAAATCAGCCAATTAGAAGGGTTTTCTAAAAATTATAGAGATATAGTAGGGAAATCGGAGTTCAACAGTGCATTTAGAAGTGACCAAAATAAATATACGCAAATATTTTGTATTCAGATTGTAATAATTTCCAGTGAAACTGCGCAGGTGCGGAGCAGCAGCATCACTGACTGCGCAAACGCAGGGCACACATGATCACACTGAACCAAACACAAATAACACACAAAAGGATTTCCATCTGTCATGTTTGCCAACAAAATTAGAACATAAACAAAATAAATCTCTAACATAAAAGATTAAAACAACGTTTACGCTCAATATCGAGCGAAATGATCGAGTGTTAACGCTGTAAACATGCTAGATCTCTCACGTCCGGCTGATTTCGAACCTATATTTGCTACATCACTGTTTCTATGAATTTATCGAATACATGAAAGCTCATTGAGGGAGAACATCTCATGAATGACCAAGTAAAATAGCACAATAAATCCCTACCTGTACTTTCCTTGAGTTTTTTTCTAGTGCTTCGCAGTAACTGGAGATTCACTCCGCAGTCTTCCGTCTCCTACAGTGGATCTGAGCCGCGCATGCGCAGTGCGCCCTGCATCAGCCTGAGCACATCCTGTCAAATAAAATCATAAATGTTTACCCGTTTAATTAATGTTCAGTGATTCTAATAAAATTAATATAAAACATAAATTCTGCAAAATGGAATAATAAAAATCCATTTTAATCTACATGGATGGGGTCGCCCCCTAGGGCGCATATGTTGACATCACATGACCATCTCGTGCCCTTTTTCCTCAGTTGACTAAAAATAATACATGAACAAATACTATAGTAATTTGAGAGTAATAAAGTATTTTTGAGTGCTTTTGTACCATACTATACAAAGCGTATCATATTGAATATATTATTGCATGTACTGCTCATGTTAACCAATGCTACAGATTACTGAACTTATATAAACTGTAATACATACTGTATAGCCTACTTAGAGGCGGATTTAACCAATAAGCGAGATAAGCGACTTCTTAGGGCCCCGGGTAATCTAGGGGCCCCCAATAAATTTATAGGAGTATAAATTATACCTTAAAACTATATATAACATCATTTTTTATCCTATTTGTATAGTGGAGTTAAACAAAAACATTTTACATAATTACACATTATTTATGTACACTAAAATGTAATATTATTATAAAAATGTAATGTTATGTATTAATAATATTAAAAATTAAAATATCCACCACCCCTAATCATGGAGCAGCATAGCAGTCATATATATATATATATATATATATATATATATATATATATATATATATATATATATATATATATATACATACATACATACATACATACATACATACAAATATATAACTACACAGCAAAATAAATAAAAATTAATTAAAAGTAGGACTTTTTTTAAAGCTTTTCACTCATTATAGCACACGGCTGCTGTTGATGTGACAATAAAAGTGATTTGATTTGAGTGGTCTTTAATGAACCTAAAGAGCACATGTCACTACTCATCCGTTTGCACTGGCTGCCAGTTGCTGCTCGCATCAAATTCAAAGCTCTGATGTTTGCTTACAAAGCGATTTCTGGCTGCGCTCCTTATCTGCTCTCACTTCTGCAGATTCATGTGCCCTCCAGAAACTTGCGTTCTGTGAATGAACGTCGCTTCGTGGTTCCATCCCAAAGAGGGAAGAAATCACTTTCCCGAACGCTCGCGTTCAATCTGCCCAGTTGGTGGAATGAACTCCCTAACTGCATCAGAACGGCAGAGTTACTCGCTGTCTTCAAGAAACGACTAAAACCTCAACTATTTAGTCCCAAATCGCTAAATCCGCCCCCTGAATATACTTCAGATTTACAACAGTAAACTGTGGTGTAATGTAGTTTAATTTGCCATATAGTGTTGTAGTAGTCTTAGTAAGGTATTGGGTTGTTTGTATTAAAATAGTGTTATTAGATAGAATAACCACAACAGATTCATTAAAGTAGTTAGCATGGTTCAAAAACGCTGTTTGTACTATGAATTGCAATAGTATTTTTGTTTTCATGTGGATTGTAATTAATTCTACTGTTCTGCTGCATTTATAGTTAACATTTAAGGTGATTTACAAAGCATAAACAATAAAGCACAACTAAATATAATAGCACACATAGGTTTTACACATTGAAATGACCTCATTCCGCATATTTATAGTCTAATAAAGGAATTTCAGAAACGTGGAGAGAAAGTGTTATTAGTTACAGTACTTTGTAACACCTAATGTTTGAAGAAAGTATTTTGAAATCTGGAAAAACGTAAAATGTCGACAATAAAAATGTAAAAGTGTCACAATTATTGATTTATCATCTGATCAGAGTTTTTTTTTTTAAACAAATCCAAATTATATGAGATAAAAACATGATAATTGAGATTTCAATCTGGAATAATGAGAAGGAAAAAAGAAACAATATTATATTATATTACGCAGGGGATAGCACATTCGCCTTACAGCAATAAGGTTGCTGGTTCGAGCCTCAGCAGGGTCAACCTATGGCGCATGTGTTTGGACTGTGGGGGAAACCGAAGCACCCGGTGGAAACCCAGGTCAACACGGAGAGAACAGGCAAAAACTCAGAAACGCCAATTGACCCAGCCGAGGATCAAACCAATGACCTTCTTGTTGTGAGGCGACAGCGCTACCCACTGTGCCACCTATTACAGTCATTTGTTTGACAATTTATCATCAATGCAAAATCCATGATTATGAAATCCAAATAAATGCTCATAGGTTTCCTCCTGGTGCTCCGGTTTCCCTCACAAGCTTAAAGACATGTGGTATAGGTGAATTGGATAGGCTAAATTGTCCATAGTGTATGTGTGTGAATGAGTGTGTATGAATGTTTCCCAGTGATGGGTTGCAGCTGCAAAGGCATCCGCTGCAAAAAAAAAAAAAAAAACATATGCAGAATGAGTTCATAAGTTCATTCCACTGTGGCGACCCCAGATTAAGAAAAAGGACTTCGCTGATTATAAAATGAATGAATAAGTGATGCTTATTATATAACTGTGTTTGTAATAAAATCAAAACTCTAAATATCAAGCCTGGCAACATAGCCAATATCGTAATACTTAAATTATGAAATCATGCAGCTTAAGAAGACTTTCTAAGATGTTTACCTGGGAAAAAGGCTTTGATTTAAACTGAAATAAAAAGACGGAGAGCCATATGGTGAACATGAATATCATAGTAACCACTCACAACATCATATCATCATCACAGTAACACTCTAGGCTCTGTTTAGAAATAATTTAACGCTCCACTTGTCCTTAAACCCAGCCATATGCTGCTTTACACATGATCACAGTAACTAGAGTTGTAAAAACCTAATTTCATTTTAACAAAATAAAAGGCCAAAGGTGACACGGTGGCTTCGAGTCCCAGCTGGGTCAGTTGGCATTTCTGTGTAGAGTTTGCATGTTCTCCCATTTTGGCGTGAGTTTACTCTGGGTGCTCCGGTTTCCCTCACAGTCCAAAGACATGCGCTATAGGGGAATTGAATAAACAAAATTGTCCGTAGTGTATGTGTGTGAATGAGTGTGTATTGATGTTTCCGAGTTCTGGGTTGCAGCTGGAAGGGCATCCACTGTGTAAAACATGTGCTGGATAAGTTGGCGGTTCATTCCACTGACGAATAGGGACCGACACAGCATATTTCACTTCTAAAATGAACAGTATCACCATACATCTTTACATTTTCTCAATTAAGAGCGTACACACGTGGTTCATTTCAATCTTTAGACATTTAATGATTCATATGTTTGAATAGTAAAGTACATTCAGTGTAAAGCATATGTATGAAAGTCTAAAAAGTACATTTTGTATGATTTAATGTTCTACAATATGTAAAAATGAAACGATGCAAAATGTAATTAATGAAAGAGTAAAAAAGAAACAAGGAATTACTGAAAACTACATTAAAGGGATGGCTCACCTAAAAATGAACATTCGGTCAGCATTTACTCACTTGTTTCAAACCTAAAGGAGTTTCTTTCGTCTGTTGAACACAAGAGAAGATATTTTGCAGAATGTTGTACGCATGTAACCATTGACTTCCATAGTATTTGTTTTTCCTATTATGGAATTTAACATTTTTCAAAATATCTTCTTTTGCGTTCAACAGAAGAAAGAAGCTCAAGCAGGTTTGAAAACACTCGATGGAGAGTAAACTGAGGAAACTTTCATTTTTGGGTAATCTGTCCCTTTAAGTGTCCAGTTTTGATTTTGTGTGGTCATTTCTCAGTGGCTTTCCCCTTAAAGGACTCCGATCAGGTTGAGAGCCACATAGATGGAGATCAGAAGGACTCCGAACAGCCCGATGTATCCGTAAACACCGTGCATCCTCTTAGCAGGATCTGAAACAGAGTAACAATGATGATGATGAGCAGGGTTCAAACCTAAACCAATGATGAAAGAACAACATAAACACTGCAGGTTATGTCAAAGTGTACTGGTGCAACCTTCAAAAAGTTAAACTTTGTTTGTGTTTAACACCATGCCAGCTTTTAGAGCCATTTTGATGGAGAGAAATAGTATTCGATATCATTTAGCTGACAAAAGTCTCCTATACAAGTTTTAGAAACAACAAATAATCACTTGACTTCTGGTCGATCATTTGGTGGTTTATATGAAAGGCAAAGGCCTCTAGATTATGCTCATTTCAGCAAAATAAAATATGATCATGCTTTGATTTTGAATTATCTAATTAGGAGAGTAAAGTCTGACTTTGCTTAGACAAAAGTCTTGTCACTTAACAGAAATAATGTCCAGTATAGAATATAAAGTCATGCTGCAGTGGAAACAGAATGAATATTGTGTCTGACTCCCATGAGCTTGTAGGACTGCATCCATACATCTCTGCAATGACTCAAATCACTGATTAATAAAGTCATCTGGAACGGCAAAGAAAGCGTTCCTGCAGGACTCCCAGTTCATCAAGATAAGGATTCATCTTCAATGCCTCCTCCATCATCTTACCCCAGACATGCTCAATAATGTTCAAGTCTGGTGACTGGGTTGGCCAATCCTCGAGCACCTGCTTTGCTTTCAGGAACTTTGATGTAGAGGCTGTAGTATGAGAAGGAGCTCTATCCTGCTGAAGAATTTGCCCTCTCCTGTGGTTTGTAATGTAATGGGCAGCACAAATGTTTTGATACCTCAGGCTGTTGATGTTGCCATGCACTCTGCAGATCTCTCGCATACCCCTATACTTAATGTAACCCCAAACCATGATTTATTTTCTTCACTAAACTTGACTGATTTCTGTGAGAATCTTGGCTCCTTTTGCAGTATTTGTGATGATTGGGATGCAGCTCAACAGATGATTCATCAGAGAAATCTACCTTCTGCCACTTTTCCAAATGATCAACTAGAAGTCAAGTTAATATTTGTTGCTCTTACAATTGAGACAAAACCTTTATCAGGTAGTGTAGATATATTACTATATTAAGGTTTTAAAAGTATTTTTTAATTAGCAATTCATTTTTAAAAATACATTTAAATTTTATTTCTACAAACTCTAAAGCTGTATTTGAATTAACGGTGTTAAAAAAAAGTGATGCAAAATGAATTAACTGAAAAAAAATGGATCTGCAACGTCAGGTCAGTTTTAGCTTATTCGTCCATTAGAAAATTTGAGTGTGATTATAGCTATATATGTAGTTCCTATTTATATAAACATATATATTTTTATTTTTTTTTCTATTTGCTTGTTTGCATCATTTTGAGTGCATTTAAACCATCTGTGTGTAAAAAAAAAAAAAAACATTTTAGTTTCCACAAAGGTTAATTGTATTTCATTTTTATAGTTGAAGTCAGAATTATTAGCCCCCGTGAATTATTAGCGCCCCTGTTTATTTTTTTCCCCAATTTAATTCCTCTGTTTAACGAAGAAAAGATTTTTCTCAACATTTCTAAACATAATAGTTTTAATAACTCATCTCTAATAACTGATTTATTTTATTTATGCCATGATGACAGTAAATAATATTTGACTAGATGTTTTTCAAGACACTTCTATACAGCTTAAAGTGACATTTAAAGGCTTAACTAGGTTAATTAGGTTAACTAGGCACGATAAGGTAATTAGGCAATTTACTGTATAACGATGGTTTGTTCTGTAGACTATCAAATATGTATTTATAGCTTAAAGGGGCTAATAATTTTGACCTTAAAATGGTTTTTAAAAAATTAAAAACTGCTTTTGTTCAAGCCGAAATAAAACAAACAAGACTTTCTCCAGAAGAAAAAATATTATCAGACATACTGTGAAAACTTTTTTACTCTGTTAAACATCATTTGGGAAATATTTAAATATGAAATCCAAAGGAAATCTGCAAACTGACACTTTAGCTCTCAAAGTCTTTGATGCCACAAAAAATAAATAAATAAAATAAATAAATAAATAATAAGAAAATAAAATTCAAATGGGGTTTAATAATTCTGATTGGAACTGTATACAGAGTGGTATTTACATTTAATTATTCAATTTCAGTACCTGAATACAGTTAGACGCCAAAGTTTCATTGATGTAGATTAATTGATTTACGAAATCCTCCCAATCAATCTAAGAATAATCAATTCTTTTGCACGACACAATTCTTTTCTGCGCTATATTCTGAATTAACTAATAACATAATTACATTATAAAATAAAAACAAATTTTGCTTATAATATAATGACACTGCAATGTCATTTTCTTTTTTTTTGCAATTTCACGCAGCGCTAATCATATTTTTCACACTGTATAGACTTACCCCCAGTGTAGTATCCCCAAGCGTAGGAGAATCTGCTGGTCACCCAGATGGCTCCTAACACAGAGGCAGCGCTCTGTTATAAGAGATAAACACAAAAGATAATGAGACGTGAACTGGGTGAGAGGGTGAAAGACAACATAAGAGAAGAGCACATGACAAGAAAAGAGATTGAGAGATTTATAATTAACTTTTGATCAAGGTAAAGGAATCTGATCAATAGAGGAATCAAATGTGTAAACGTAACCGTGTAAAGGAAGCCATTTAAAGTTTGGTGTTGTATTATTAACAGGTATACAAGGAAATGGAGGACAGTATTGTCTTCATTTCAGTTTATAAGCTGGACACTGAATCTACTTGTTAAAGTGGAATTTTAATAGCAATATTGGTCAAATTATACTCAATTATTTAAAGTATTATTATTGAATTATGAATTGAACTTTCAATAATACACCATTTAAGGTATATAGTTCAGCCAAAATAGTAAATCTGTCATTGTTTACTCGTCTTTCACTTATTTCAAACCAGTTTCTTTCTTCTGTTGAACACAAATGAGGATATACTGAGGAACAGGGGTGGACTTAGTGATTTGGGGGCCCTAAACAGTTACAGGATGGGGCTCTAGCAATGAAAGTCAAAACACTCCCTTTCTCGATAGATATTTTTTTTCCGTAGATTCGTTTTTTTTTTAATTTTGTAAATAAACTGCGTGTTAAAATATATATTTCAAGTGGAACCTTTATCTTCATAATGTAAACAAAAATAAATAAAAAATCAAATTTACCACATTTTATAAATACAACTTTTCTATAGTTATAAAAAATATTCTTCTAACAATTAAAAGTCACCAACAGTAATAAATAATACACAGGGTAAAATACATAAATAATAACAATAACAATAATATTAATAATAAAGATAAAATCTAAAACAGTTTAAGATTTACTTTTGATAAAAATTCTACAATTTTAGAAGGATTCACATTTAAAAATATTGCCTTTTAATGTGTGTCCAGATAAAAATTGTTGTCTGATAACATTGAAAAATAGAGCATTCCACAATAATGTTTCACAGTTCAGTTTCTTTTGCAATAGTGACATTTTGGTGGTTATTCTCCTTTAAGTAAATGTTCATGTGAGTCTTGTGTGTCCAATGTGGCATCTTCTATAAACAATCTCATCGTGTCTTGAGGTAACAAAAAAAAAAAAAAAAAAAAAAAAAATCGATTTTCTTCCTATTTCCGGCTGAATTTCAAAGAGTTTTTTTTTTTGAGCATTGATCCATTCTGTTTAAAAGAAGTAATAACATTGAAATCTTAATGGTTATAGACAGATTTACAACATGTGATAGTAAATTAATATAACAAAAAAGCTATATGATTAATTTAGGCTTCTTGACAATGGTCGGAGCCCCCTAATTCCCTGAGGCCTTAAGAGGCTGCTTACCTCGCTTTATGGTTAAGTCCGCCCCTGCGGAGGAATGTTAGGAAACAGCAGCCATTGACTTCCATGGTATATTCTTTGGAATTGTTGTTCCTACAATGAATGTCAATAGCTACATTTCCCCCAACATTTATCAGAATATCTTGTTATGTGTTTGTGAGATTATAATTTTTTGGATGCACTATCCCTTTAATAACCTGTTATGATTAATTCTGCTTTTTTTATTTTTTGTGTGTCTGTTGGAGACAAATGATAAGAAATACTGCTCCATATAAACTGCTCCATATAAACTCTGAGGTATAACAAAGTATGTTAAATGCAAGTAAATTCGACAATAAAGCAGTAATTAAACAGCATTGCTAACCAATATCAAATAATGTCAAATGTTTAATTGTCCTTCAATTCTACAAACAATAAAAGGCAAAAATGATTAGCCTTCCTGTGAAAGAGCTGTAATGTTGTGTCTGGATTATTATATATATATATTTTTATTGTATTTTATTAATACAAACATATTAATCATAACAATGGATGACAACAAGTACAAAGGTAAATAAAAAAAGAAAAAGGATGCACTAAGAGTTTCCGAGTCACTTCCGGTGTGTGGTAAATTCCCTTTCCGTAAGGAATCTGTAATTGTAAATTTGTTTCAGGACTTGTAAAAGTGTTTACTATCATTTCCGGTTTTTGAATGTTCCTGGATATATCTGAATTTGTATGATTACTTTGTGTAATGTTTCAAAGCTTATAATAATAATTATAATAATAATAATAATAATAACAAACTTACAGGATAATGGAGTGCAGCAATAGTCTGAAACAGCAGCCATTGCGGATACACCTCCAGTGTGTTCTGATGGGCTCTCTGAATGCAGTTGAAGATCTGATCCTTATCACTGTACATGGTCGGGTACTGTACACAAAACACGAGCATTTAAACACCAACAAACTACCATCAAATCAAAGTATAATGCATACATCAAGATAAATTGAGAAAATGTAACATCATGCATCGACTGTACCTTTACTCCAAACTTCTTTCTTGCAGCACCAACTTTCATCCCGAGATACATGAGCATGACAAAACTGTAAACATATACCAAAATCGCATAGCCGAAGTTGGCTGGGAGCACGCTCTCGATCGCCATGTCTGCAGATGAACTGATCAGGACCTGACCTCTCTCTCTGCTCAAGAACAATCTATGCTCGCTTTATTTGCATAAAATGCACAATCATGCAACGCACGCAGAATAGGTGGGTTATTTGTGTAAAAGGCGACGTTCAGGAAACTCTCGCGATAATCTGAGATCTCTCGAGAGACACACGTGCACTTTGTCCTTATGATTTCTGTGTGTGCGTTAAGGTGTTAAACAGCTTCTTAAACTCCTTACATTTATAATTTAGGCTTACAAATGTCACTGTCTGACTGAATAATTTAAATGAAATTAAAATATCACCATGTGACAAACAACCCTAAAACACCCTAAAACACATATAAATTAGGCAACTCAATGGCACTGTCTGACTGAATAATATAAAATAAATAAAATAATATTATGTATACAGAGTGAAACTATGTAAAAGACAGAGTGAAACTATGTAAAAAGATGTACGTAGAATGAGCTATAGTTTTCTATGTACACAACATTAATATATGAGATAGAATATAAACACAAACAGATAGTAAACTTACAGACAATGCTTCTACAGATGATCACAGCATGAGTGGATTTTAAGTGTCTTCTTGTAAGGTTTTCCTTATATATATATATATATATATATATATATATATATATATATATATATATATATATATATATATATATATATATATATATATATATATAGTATTATTTATTTATTTATTTACATAACCATAACCATATAATTTCTTTTAAAAAACTGGTAAAACTGGTAAAAAAAATTGCTTTTGATATAAAATATGTTTTATAGTGTTAAACAACCAGACAACAACCAGGTAACAGTACTTAATGTATATAAATTAGGTAAAAAATATTACCATTGGCTTTTATTATACGTTAATAACTTTATGCTAAAGAGATTCTCCCTACCAAAATATGTAAAGCACTTTGAGTGCGCTAAATAAATGTAAGGAATTGTTATTATCAATAATAATGTTATTAAAAACACAAACAAAAACACTGGCGAATTTTCTAGAACCCGACGATGACGTCAGCTGGTTTCGGTTAAGTTAAAAGGGCAGATTTTTTTTGCGCACGAGCCACTTCACGCCGAACCACTCGCGAGACAACAACGTTTCAGATCGCAGCCTGATTTCTGTAGCTAAACCTTTGTTGGATGAAATAGGAAGACATTTCAACATAAGATAGATACATGCGAGAATAAACATTTGTTTATCTCACAGTTCTTTTGTGTATGTGTTGGGAGTTTATTGTTTTGAACCTCCTCGAGGAGCATTTCGCTATACGTTACCGTGTTTTTCTTCAAACTCGATCATCTAACTGTTGGATCAAGTCATTTTGACGGTAAGTAGTGCTTATAGCCGACATATGCAGAACATTTTATCGTTGTTGTGAATTTGCAGTCTTTGGTTAAATTAACAAACACTGACGTTAACGTAAATGTTAGAAAATTAATGGCATTATCATTATCAGACTAAGTTAACGTTAGATTAAATGTATTCATTTTAGCGTTAAATTTAAAATGACATTCGGATTTTGTTACAGCGTTATTTTATAATGCTGGTTAATGATTACATCGTTTTCAGTTGGTGCTTCTGGAATGTTCTAGACTGGTCTGTTGTGTAACTTGATTGACAGGAGGGGCGGAGACTTTATCACCTGACCTACTTCTGTTCCAGAATGTTCTTCCACAGCCTCACCGTGTATTAATATCACGGTTTACTGTAGTTCGCCTCGACGTCTACCCAACAGTATTGATCAAACTAAGATTTGAAAATAAAAAAAGTACATATTTAATTGATAATCCAGTGCTGTGGTTAAAAATTAAAATACATTTAACGAAAGTAAGCTAGCTTTCTAAGTAACGTTAATCCAGTTGTTTTGTAACCCAAAGGTTTCAGTCGGATATTGTTTGTAGCGCTAATTTTTTATACATTTACTTTTTAAAAAAGAAATTTGAACATTGGATTAGTCCACTTTTTCAAAGTCAGCTTTTACAAAGTGCTATAATCCTGAAGTAAGAAAAATAAAGTTTTATGCAAGCCAGGCAAATAAAAAAACCCCAACATCCCCTAAAAAAACATACCAATAAATAAACCCTTAAGAAATATTCTCCACCATTGAAGACATGGTAACAATATTATTGGTGCTACTAACCTATTTACATAACTTAGCTACTGAAAATCCTAAAAGGTCCACATATTGACAAAAATGTTATGTTAGCTGTGTTAACATTACTTATGACTGAATTGCCTCTTGTTACAGTAATTAAATAATTTGACGACAAGCAGGAATTGTTAATGGTCCAATGACATCACCACATTGTGTGGGGCGCAGAGGGAGCCTCAATTATTTGACCCAAATTGTCAGGATTTATAGTAAAATTTCTGATGATAAAGTGGTCAGAATTTTTTCTCCATGCTGATTATTTAGAAAATGTTACAGATATTTATCTTGACTGAGAAAACTTTGCATGAATCCTTTGATCACCTGATATGAACTGTTTGCTGAGTCATTTTGGCTTAATTGTTAGAATTTAAAGTAAACTCTAATGATAAAGTGGTCAGAGTTCATATACTCTGCTAATTAAATAAAAAAAAATTGTAACTGATAGTCAGATTAATTGATCTTGATTAGGCATAGAATGATTACTGTCTTCAAGGTGTACTGCAGTATGAATAAGTCAAGGTTATAAAATCGCCAAAAGTTTTTTTTTTTAATAAAAGAAGGGTATGTCTAAGATTTTTTTTATTTACATTTATTTTAGGAGGACAGTATCTCCAGCAAAAAAATAAAAATCTAAAGATGCCATTTTAAATAGTAAAGAAATCAGTGTTTTTGTTTTTTAAGAAAATAAAGACAGCAGAAGTCAATGATTCATTTTAAATCATATAGCCTGACGTGTTTACTTCTCCTAAATATCATAAATCTTTAAAGAAATAAAATGTTTTCAAAAGGGGAAAACAGATTTTGTTTTTACCCAGACATTTAAAAAGGATATATTTTAGAGCAGTAATCGCAATACTGTGAAATCGTGATATTTTTATCCAAGGTCATCTTATACTGGCCCATGCCTAACCTTAAGTGGGAAAACTAGGCACAAATGAATTCTTTGATCACCTGATATGAAGTGATAGCTTGTCCAGTTAGGTCAAATCCAATCCTTTGTATTTTATAGGTTTGATCATGAAGACCGAAGCCAGCCCTGGGCGCCTCCATGAGGATGTGAAGCTCATCTTTGATAAGAAAGCTCCTTCCGGCCGTAGCTCGTCTTGCTCCAGCAGTAGCAGCAGCAGTAGCGGCAGCTCATACTCCAGCAGCAGAGGGAGCCGTTCCTCTCGCAGGTCAAGGACCTCCTCCTCCTCACGGAGCTCATCTTCTGGCAGCAGCTCTTCCTCAAACTCAAGATCCCGCTCCCGGCCACGCTGCTCAGGCCGTGTACACTGCCGCCACAGACACCGTTCTCCTCCACGCCGCTACCGTGCTCGATCTCGCTCTTACAGTCCTTCTCCTGAGTCTTCCTCTCGCCGCAGACACTACTATCGCCGCAGTCGTTCTCCATACAGATATTCTAGACACTACAGGCGCTCTCCATCCCGCTCCCGCAGCAGGTCTCCACCACACTGGAGGGGAAGTCGCTTCATTGGGAGGTACCGGTGCAGATTCTCCCAATCACCCAGGAGGAGCCCCAGACCCTACAGAAGCCGCTCCCGCAGCCGCGAACGCTCCATCCGTCTCAGCCTTGAAGGTAACATCAGCTTCACCATTCTACTTGCATAAAAAGAGAATCTAATTTTTTAAAATCTTTGCACCACTAGAGTCCTGTAAGATGTAATGACAACCCAAACTACAATGGTTCCTTGATCAGTCACGCCATCAACAAAATGTGCATTTGTCTATTGTGAATATGCTCCCTCTAGTGGTGAAAATTACATTCTGTGCCTTTAAAGTTCAACATTTTCACATTTTAATTGCCTTTTTTTGTCATCCACAGAGAAGAAGTATCTGCTGAATGTGGCCAAGGCAAATGCTGCCCGGATTCTGGGAGTGCAGAACCTCGAGCTGCCAGAGAGCCTGAAGGAGATGGAGCAGCAGGAGGAGAGAAAGAGGAGATCTTCATCAGATGAAGAGGAAAGGGTGAGGGTTGACCTGGCACCGCAGAAAACACCAGCTCAGGTGAGTCTCACACACAACTGCAAATGTTACACTAATACACACCCAGTGTGGAATGTTGCATGAATGTCCTATAGTATTCTGTACTTTCAAGTGATATGTGATCTTGGGATACTAACACATTGAAATGCGTCTATATATAATGTGATTGCGCATTTGTATTTACCCAACTTGGGTCGTTTAATCTGTCTCCTCAGACATGAATGATATTTCCTGATGGATTTAATGGAATGATCAACAGCTCATGTCCGGATTAGGTAACGGTATACGTTAAAGAGTATGTAATACTGAGTGTGTGTGTATGTGTGCGAATGTATGAACACATTCCTCTCACTGATTTGAGGAGTGACATTTTAGCTTCAATTGCTTTTGTTTGTTTTTTTTGTATCGTTTCTGTTCCTGTAGAGCTGAAACTCCTCCACCCTTTGGACATAGAGGGACAGAGGGGGAGGTCACATGACTTGATTGACACCAGCTTTAAGTCTTAAATGCACAACTGCAAAGGATAAGTAATGGTGTATGATGTTAGAGGTAGCTTTATGTCCAATTAAATCAGACTACATGCAGTTGTGTAATTTACCTTACATAGAGCTGAGCCACTTTCAGCTACAACACAACTGCACATATATGAACATTTGGGGTCAGTAACATTTTTATTTTTACTGCTTTTATTTAGCAAGGATGGCATTAGGTTGAGCAAAGATTACAGTAAAATGATAAAAGATTTCCTTTTGATCTGTTCATTTAACTTTGCTGAAATTATCACAGTGTCAATTAAAGTATTTGCGTCTTTACTGTATTTCTTTGATCAAAATAAATGCAGCATTTGTTAGTCTATGAGATATCAAGAAAAATCTTGCTGCCTCAAGCGTTTGAATTGTAGTGTACTCTGATTAATTAAAGCATAGGAAATTGTTTGTTTTGATGGTTGAACTGGGTTGCATTGTCATTCCTCAGTGAGTCTTCCTCTGTTCAGCGTGCGTGAAGACCAGAGACAGCTCCGTCTACAGTGATGGATGGGGTTTGGAAAAATATACCGTCTCTTTTTGTCTGATTATTTTAGCTTTGTTCAAACAAACTGCAAAAAGCCAAATTATTAGATTTTCTTTTCACAAATGTATAGCATCATGCACAGTTGAATTAAATTAATCTTAGTACAAGAAAAAAAAGATGGCATCCGTGCTGTTTTTAAAAGCTAATGACTATACTTTGGATGTTTTTATTTTTATTATATTTTGTTTCTGAGTTGACTCTTCCATACAATTGAACAACTATATTAGATACTGCATGAGTAAATTCATTACTTTAAAATGGCTTGAGTGTCTTAAAGGTCTGATTTAACAAGTTGGAATTGAATGCAGAGTAACCAAAGCCTCTGTCTATAGATTTTTATAGTTTCTAAAGCTTTATTATATTACTGAAAATGTAAACTGATAAAACCCATGTGGTGTTACAGATTAGAAGGGCAACTCTAGCATTATTAAAGTCCCTTCAGTTTACTACCATTGCATGACCTGAACCCAATAGATGATGTATTCTTTTAGAAGTGAAAATCATGTGAGGTTTACATCAAATGAACAGGGTTTTCACTATTCTTGTTTCTCTTTTCTGTCTTAAGGTAAATGGTGGTGGTGCTGCTGATGATGAGGCAGAGACTGCTCAGACATCACCCAAGAGAAAGCAAATTGTCTTCAGCAATAATGTAAGTTCATGAAAACTTGCTCAAATGTGATGATTGTGACTACGTTCACACCGAAAGGGGCGAGAGCGTCAAAGTAGGCCGAAGTCATTTATTTTGTCTTCGTCAGTGTAAAAGTTGAGGAAAGTTAAAATCAAGTCAAGTTTATGGTAATGGGCTATGACACCATTCAGGGGCAAGCAATCAGAATGTAGAAATCCACCGCTTGAGAGGAGTCAAGAGAAGACAGTCATTTTGAATTTTGGTTCCAACCACAGTTGTTCCCAAGGGTTTGATTACTTTTATTTAGTCTGTGTCCACTAGATGCTTTCAGAGGTGCACTCAGCTCTGTTCATTAACTCCTTCACCAACTATATCTGGATGATGGAGGCTTTTTAGTGTTAGCCCAGTTTGATAAAGTGTTGACCGATGTCGGCAGGAGAATTTCCCCTCGGGACACTAACAACATCACGCCCTTCCAAAAGCAAGCTAATGATTGGTTAGCGCAGCACAAATGTCTGCTAAGGTTAAGATTTTCCAACTCTAGTGATTTGCGCATCAGACGCTCATCTTGCGTCGCTTAATTTTTGCCACAAGATGTCTATCCGTGAATTTGCATTGACTTAACATTTAAATCACTCGCAGCTGACACTTCATCTGTGTCTGGTGTGATTTCACCTTTAGAAATAGGAAAAACATGCTCTAATAAGCACTTGAAAGATACATCTTGTAACTCCGTATATAACGGTAAATAAAACAATTGTCATGGTAACTGTATAATAAACTGATAATTGCAGTGGCTGCCTCCACTCTTCTGATTGGTCCACTGCTTTTGGACCTGACAGTGATGAGCTTTCAATGATTTGCTGCGTGTGACAGTTTAAGATCTAAGAAACACGGCGCTTCAAAAGATGCGAGTGTTAAGGCCCATTCACACCGGTATTCTTTTTGCTTGCACTTTTTGTCTACATTTAATGCCTCGTGACTAAACTAAAGGCGCTGATGTGATCGGTAACAGCAATGCACAAAACGGCGGTGTCATTTTTAAAGAAACGTCTCATGCTTTGTTTAATGTGCATCACCAAAACTTCTCCAATTAGTTTGCCACTTTTGTTTTGTGCCCAGAGCTGCTACTACAGTTACATTAATCACCACTTAAAGGCACTTAAGTGGAGGTGATTCCAGTTTCAATGATGAAGATGATGCATGAACAAGATGAGGCAAAATGAAAATGGAGCTGCTTTTTTTTTATTAGGTTTTGGACACAAAAAGCTCTATGATAAAAGTAACAGCAACTACAGTCATGTCAGTAGGAGTGGAGAGTCGCAAATAGGTTTTGATAGTGAGTTTCATTTTACTTTTTCTTTTAAGTTTTGTGACTTGCAAGTTCATTAAGTGCCATCTAATGTCAGGAGGTAATTCTGTGCATTCACTCTGCTCAACACCCATGAAAATTGTCTGGGATTACAGCAAAGTGTCTTAAAAAAAAAAAAAAAAACGCTGATGATAAACGTGAGCAAAAAGCATCCTGGTCTGTACGAGCCTTAACGGTCAAACATATTTGTGTGTTACGATATAAGACAATAGAAAAGCTGCATGTTGGAGAGGAAATACATTGTGTGAGCAGCCCCTAATAATGTACTGAAATATGTAAGCTGATCTTGCCTCTTTATATTTGCAGAATGCCATCGCCAAACCATCAAGCAGTCCAACACTCAGCGACAGTAAGGTAACATCAAGAGCAGACATCGTGCCGTACAAGAGGCCTTTTGGACAGTGGGTCCCCATCGGCAAATCCTCCTCTGCAAACAAACGCTGAGATTCAGAAAGACTGTAAATAGTGTAAATAGTGTAAATAGTTTCAATTTCAGAGTTGTTTTTGTAAATGGATTGTGTTTTGTGACTACTTGGGTGGGGCTGGGTGGGTTTGGGAGCACCTGAATTCATCATAATTGTTTTCTTTCAGATATAAAGTGGGTTTAATTGGAAGAAGGCAGAAGGATGTCAAACAGGTGGGAGTTTTTGTGTATTTGTGTTTTTCGTGATGTACAGTGGATGTTTAGAAATACAGAATGCAAAAAAAAAATAAAGTCTTTGTATTTCTTCCCCTTCCCAAAGTCTTCATGAAGTATGTTTTTTATATATTTATAGAATATTTAAAAGGCACCCATAATGAAAGTCATCTTTTGTAAGCTGTTTGAACGGAACTGTGTGTAGATATAGTGTGTCCACAGTCACAGTGGAGTAATAGAAGCTCAAAGTCTTTTTTTTTTTTTTTTTTTTTTTTTTTTAAATTCCTGATGTTAAAATAGTCCAAATTCCTCCCATTTTGAGACCGGTCACAAGGTAAGGTTTTCCAGCCCATCAAATTGATTGACAGCAATGTATTAACATGTCTCCAGTGACGCGTATATTCATATCAACAAGACGGTACAAGGGCAAAGCAACCGCCATTAAAAGATCTGTTCAGCTCTCTGTGATCATCAATTCTCGTCAAATGTGATCAAGTGAGTTTTACAAGTTTAAAACGTTTTTAAAATCAGTGCATGTGTGTAACTAATTGCAGCGATTTACTTCAGGTTTATCCCCACAGCTGCGTATCAGTACAATTATAAAAGATGCTTCAATCCTGGTTTGTGGACATTAAATCAGGTTTATTTTGTAATTTAACACAACTGATGTCCATACAACAGTGGATGTTAACGTGTCTCTTGCCACATTTGCCGTGCAAAAAAAAGTTGAGTGCATGTGCTGTTTGTGCACGTGCGTGCGTGAACTTTGTAACAACATTGACTCATCAAAGGCTTAAATTAACTCCACAACAAATACATCAAATAATCATTGGGAAAGTTCTTACTGTAGTATTTCACACAGACGTTATGCGAGATCTGTTTTCTTCATCTCTGTCACTGCTGTTTGACAGCAGGCACGTGGGAATGATTGGCAAGGAGTACCAGCAATAAAGTCACAGGCCACAAAAACAACATTGTGTTTAGAGCTGAAAATGCCAAAATTCTGAAATGTATAATAAATAATCTGATGGGTGTTTCGAGCTGAAACTTTACAGACACATTCTGGAGACACAAAATAACTTAAATCTTGAAAAGAGGTAAAATAAGTGCCCTTTAAAGCTCTTATCAACAAACGCTGCTGAACAGTGTTTCTCTGCTTTGATTTGGTCTTGTGCTCTTGAAAGTGCTTTATAAGTCACACCTTTATTGAGCTAATGAATATAATTAGACAATCGCTCTTGACTCGTTCATTATGTGAAATCAAATTTGCCAGCTGTGCAGATGAGGTGAACACAGAGAAACCCCGACTGCTCCTCCATGACATTGGGCTACAGGTGATGCAAGGTTATCTCTATATCAAAGAATTGCAAATAAGCAGATATAACAATTTATCAATAAGCACCTCCTCTCGCTGTTCACGGCTGTGGTTTGCTGATCAAATAAAACAAAACGGGGAGGAGCCGAATTCTGCCGCCATTTTCATATTAAATTTAAAGGGGACTGAGGCAGGTAATTTAGTGTACAGTTTATGAGATAATCGCGTAAGTTTTAGGGGGGCTGAGTTGAAATATAGGGGGACTACAGACAAACTAAAATAGGCCTAGCAATGCCCATGATACATTAGAAAATAAATCTTACCCTGTATAAGTATAAATTTTAATTCTTAATGGTCTTAAAAAGACTTAAATTAGACTTGAAACCTGCAGAAATCCCGTATAATGCTGCGGTCACACTAGAATTCTGTTGTACGGTGCTGTAAAAAGCGGGATTTAACAAAACGAATAGACGTTAAAAAAGCGAGTGATTGGTCCATGTTTTAAATTTCTGTCCAGAGAGGTTTGATCCATCTTCGATTTGTCTCACGCAATCAAGTGATGCGATTTCAACATTATGAAGCTGCTAATCAAGCTCAGGCTTGATCAAAATGTCCTGGCAAGTGTTTTGAGGCAAGTTAAAGCTAGCCTCTGCTGGACACCGGCCCTCAAGGATTGAGTTTGGGCACCCCTGCTATAAGTATTAAGGGTATAAGTATTATTTTTTAAAATATGTATATATTTTATGCAGTTTTGAATAGGTTTTAACTGAATTGTTAAAAACACAGATAATTGATCTAAATAAAACAATTTTCATGAAATTGTTACATTGTGATGCTCATTTCAGGCTGATTACTGATAATAATTATTATTGAGAGTAGTGGAAATAATAGCTTTCTTTGGCATGAATATCGTAAAAATTAGAAGAAAAATCTTAATAGAAAAAACTGTTCAACCCAAAATTAAAACACTCAAAGTCAACATTAAGTGGTTTCAAACCTCTGAGTTTATTTCTTCTGAACACTGAAGAAGATATTTTGAAGAATGTTAGAAACATGTAATCATTGACGTCCATATTTGTTTCTTTTCAGCAAAATATAGAGACTCAAATGGGTTTATATTATGTGAAGAGTGAGTAATTGATATCATTTTCAGTTTTGGGTGAACTTTCCTTTTATTATGAAGGAAAGATGTTTGATTCGCGAATGAAATGTGACCTTTGGATGATTTAGTCAGATTACAATATTAAGATATTTACAAATATCCCCCTAATTAAATACTTAAATCGTAATCATCATCATGTTTGGATACAAATAGTGTGTTTGGCTGGTAGAAAATGAGATTTAATCCTCGAAAACACCCTGATCTTCATGTTCTGAGCTCTGGGTGGCGCTGTTGCACTGTCTATATTAGTTGTTGATGAGGCCGCAGACATCAACGCATCTGCTTTCCAGGGAAAACATTTGAGTGGTTATTACAAAATTATTAACCATGCATAATTGCCTATTACCAAAATAAAAGAAAAAAACAAGATCTGTTCATTCCTAAGAGACTGATCATCAGTAATGTCTACATGTAAAAATAACTGATCCAAACTATCCTGTTTAAAGGAATAATCCACTCAAAAATAAAAATTATCTTATCATTTACTCATCCTCCACTTGTTCCAAACATGTTTAAGTTTCTTTCTTTTGTTGAACACATATGAAGATAACGAAGTCATTCCATAGTATTTTTTGGATATCGGTGGCAACTTTCCAACATTCTTCAGAATATTTTGTTTGGTATTCAACAGAAATAAGTCATTCATAAGCTCAGAACCACTTGAGTGTGAGAAAATGGCGAATAAATGTTCACTTTTGTGAACTGTCCCTTTAAAGGAACAGCTGAAGATCTTTTAGCTTAGCTTAGCATAAATCATTGAATTTGATTAGACCATAAGCAACTCACTCACTCAAAAAAAAAAAAAAAAAAAATGATTGTCCAAGTTAAAGCTTGAAACTTATGTTGTTACATCATGTACTAGCGGAGCACTTTTAGCTTAGCTTAGCATAAATCATTGACTCGGATTAGACCATTAGCATCTCTTCGAAAATTTTCAAAAAGATTTAATACATTTTCTGCTAAAATCTTTACTCTTCTGTTGTTACATCATGTACTAACAGAAAATGAAAAGTTGGTAATTTCTAGGCTGATACAGCTAGGAACTATACTTTCATTCAAGTGTAATAATTTTGGCTCATTTCCACTGAGTGGTATTGTATGGTACGGGCCTGTACGCTTTTATGGCCATAAAACCGTACCGTACCACTTTTTGGGCATCCTTTCCAAAGGGCATCATAAGGCGGAGCTAGACATGCAGATGAATGCTATTGGTTTACAGAGATACGTCACTAGCATGTAAAGAAGAATAAAAACAAGGGACGCGCCATTTTTAAATACACAGCTGAGACATTACACTGTAATAATATATACATTTAACAACTAATGGTGGACAAATCGAGGCTTCATGAAACACTTTTCAAAACCCGTCTCTACTGAGACAACTAGTGGCCATTTGTTATGTATGCTTTGACACAGCTTCAGCAAAGAAACAGTTACACAAATTGAGATAGAGTTTGGCTTCAAATGATTTAGTGGAGCGGTGAGATTTCCACACTAGCATGCTGAGATAATGGGTTCGAATCCAGGGAGATGCAGCAATAGATGTTAGTTTTTAAATGCTCTGTTATTGTAACGTGAGATGTTTTAGCATTAGTCTGACATCCGAATGAACACTTTGTGAATGAACCTGTCATGTTTTGGTCAAAAAAAGTAACATTATTAAAATACATATACCTATAAGTCGGGATTCGTACTCGGGCCATTTGCAGCACAGTTACTCAGTGCACATGCATGGTCCACTAGGCTCTGAGGGATGGATTTCTTTTCGATCCTGTCAATCAAACGCAGTTTCGGCAGGTCTCGAAACGCTTCTGAAATGACTGATGCTTTGAATCGTTTTAGTCATGTGACCTGAGTGTTTCAAAACACTTTAGTCACATGACCTGTTTGTTTCGGATCATGCTTCGGTGCAGTGTTTCGACTTTTGCTTCGGGATCTCAACACAGTTTACATCAGCCATCCCTACTGGAAACAATTCTGAAAGAACTGATGCTTTGAAACGCTTTAGTCACGTGACTTGGTGTTTCGAAACACTTTAGTCGCGTAACCTGGGTCTTTCAAATCACCTTAGTCATGTGACCTGGGTGTTTCGGATCACTTTAGTCACATGACCTGGTGTTTCGAAACACTTTAGTCACGTGACCTGGGTCTATTGAATTTTCTAAGTCACATGACCTGGGTCTTTGAAATCACCTTAGTCATGTGACCTGGGTGTTTTGGATCACTTTAGTCACATGACCTGGTGTTTCAAAACACTTTAGTCACGTGACTTGGGTCTTTCGAATCACCTTAGTCATGTGACCTGGGTGTTTCAGATCACTTTAGTCATGTGACCTGGGTGTTTCAGATCACTTTAGTCATGTGACCTGGGTGTTTCGGATCACTTTAGTTACGTGACCTGGGTGTTTCGGATCACTTGATTCATGTGACCTGGGTCTTTCAAATCACCTTAGTTACGTGACCTGGGTGTTTCGGATCACTTTAGTTACATGACCTGGGGCCTCATGTATCAACGCTGCATACGCACAAAAACTATGCGTACGCCAGATTTTACAGTCACATTTGGATTTACTAACAATGAACGGGACGGGATCATCCACATTTCTAGCAGGTTTACAAGGTTT